CCAGTCTCTATCAATTTCAATAGTTGTGAACACCAAGACAAACTCTGCCTATCTGTCACTGCAATAAAATCTTGCTCCAGGGATCAAATAACAAATCTCCTCTTGGAAAAATACCTCATTCATAAGTTAGTTCTCAGCCCTGCAGGCATCAGGGTAAAGCACACCTTCATTTATTTTTGTTAGATGTCTATTTATTTTTCATGTTCCCAATTCAATCATTCTTGTTTCCTTTCAGAATAGCTATTCCTGTATGTAGTTTTTCACATTTCCTTTCTATGTGAACTTCTCATTTGTTTGTTCCTGTAATAATCGATAATGAATAGTCAAAATGTAAGGTTACATGTGTGTTTGTCTTTTCCTTTCCCTGTGTTAAGCTGAGCAATTATTATTTGTGATGTATTAATTTACTTATTTTAAAAAGTAGTATTGTCAAGGTGATTCAGACAAACAGGCAAACCTCTTATTTTCTTACTGAAATGTACTCACAATTCCATCATAATGCTATTTTTAACAAAAAGAATGCCATTTGTGGATGTCCTTCGCTGCCAACAAAAATACAAGTTTAAATGGAAAATCTACAAATGTAATGCAGAAAACACACAACTACTTTTGCTTCAATAAAGAATGTCCTGGTAAAAAAAGAAATGGAATAAACAGTTTTGATGAACCAACACAGAAAGTCAGTGTAATAGCAATACATAGGTTAGACAAATCTTATTAATTATTATTTATATATTAAATACCCTTATCTTTTGGGTACCATAAATAAAATAAAAATTTTAAGAACAGTCACATGTATGTTTGTTACTGATGATCTTAAAATGTTAGTTCTTGTAAATGTACTGGTAAAGAGATGTCTCTATAGTCTGTTCTTGCATAGATACATCCCTTTACAATTTATTCTTATACAGTGAGGTCTCCATACATAATGTGAAGTGATATTCTCACAGCTTGTTCTCGTAAACTAAGATCTCCATATATAATGTGAAGTGATATTCTCACAGTTTGTTCTCGTAAACTAAGATATCCATATATAATGTGAAGTGATATTCTCATAGTTTTGTTCTCGTAAACTAAGATCTCCATATATAATGTAAAGTGATATTCTCACAGTTTGTTCTCGTAAACTAAGATCTCCATATATAATGTAAAGTTATATTCTCACAGTTTGTTCTCGTAAACTAAGATCTCCATATATAATGTGAAGTGATATTCTCATAGTTTTGTTCTCGTAAACTAACATCTCCATATATAATGTGAAGTGATATTCTCACAGTTCGTTCTCGTAAACTAAGATCTCCATACATAATGTAAAGTGATATTCTCATAGTTTTCTTCTCGTAAACTAAGATCTCCATATATAATGTGAAGTGATATTCTCACAATTTGTTCTCGTAAACTAAGATATCCATATATAATGTAAAGTGATTTTCTCACAGTTTGTTCTCGTAAACTAAGATCTCCTATATAATGTAAAGTTATATTCTCACAGTTCGTTCTCGTAAACTAAGATCTCCATATATAATGTGAAGTGATATTCTCATAGTTTTGTTCTCGTAAACTAAGATCTCCATATATAATGTGAAGTGATATTCTCACAGTTCGTTCTCGTAAACTAAGATCTACATATATAATGTAAAGTGATATTCTCATAGTGTTGTTCTCGTAAACTAAGATCTCCATACATAATGTGAAGTGATATTCTCACAGTTCGTTCTCGTAAACTAAGATCTCCATATATAATGTGAAGTGATATTCTCACAATTTGTTCTCGTAAACTAAGATCTCCATATATAATGTGAAGTGATATTCTCACAGTTCGTTCTCGTAAACTAAGGTCTCCATACATAATGTGAAGTGATATTCTCACAGTTTGTTCTCGTAAACTAAGATCTCCGTATATAATGTAAAGTTATATTCTCACAGTTTGTTCTCGTAAACTAAGATCTCCATATATAATGTGAAGTGATATTCTCACAGTTCGTTCTCGTAAACTAAGGTCTCCATACATAATGTGAAGTGATATTCTCACAGTTTGTTCTCGTAAACTAAGATCTCCATATATAATGTAAAGTTATATTCTCACAGTTTGTTCTCTTAAACTAAGATCTCCATATATAATGTAAAGTGATATTCTCACAGTTTGTTCTCGTAAACTAAGATCTCCATATATAATGTAAAGTTATATTCTCACAGTTTGTTCTCGTAAACTAAGATCTCCATACATAATGTAAAGTGATATTCTCATAGTTTTGTTCTCGTAAACTAAGATCTCCATATATAATGTGAAGTGATATTCTCACAGTTCGTTCTCGTAAACTAAGATCTCCATATATAATGTAAAGTGATATTCTCATAGTTTTGTTCTCGTAAACTAAGATCTCCATACATAATGTGAAGTGATATTCTCACAGTTTGTTCTCGTAAACTAAGATCTCCATATATAATGTGAAGTGATATTCTCACAGTTTTTTCTCGTAAACTAAGATATCCATATATAATGTAAAGTGATATTCTCACAGTTCGTTCTCGTAAACTAAGATCTCCATATATAATGTGAAGTGATATTCTCAGTTTGTTCTCGTAAACTAAGATCTCCATATATAATGTGAAGTGATATTCTCACAGTTTGTTCTCGTAAACTAAGGTCTCCATACATAATGTGAAGTGATATTCTCACAGTTTGTTCTCGTGAACTAAGATCTCCATATATAATGTGAAGTGATATTCTCACAGTTCGTTCTCGTAAACTAAGGTCTCCATATATAATGTGAAGTGATATTCTCACAGTTTGTTCTCGTAAACTAAGATCTCCATATATAATGTGAAGTGATATTCTCACAGTTTGTTCTCGTAAACTAAGGTCTCCATATATAATGTGAAGTGATATTCTCACAGTTTGTTCTCATAAACTAAGATCTCCATATATAATGTGAAGTAATATTCTCACAGTTTGTTCTCGTAAACTAAGGTCTCCATACATAATGTGAAGTGATATTCTCACAGTTCGTTCTCGTAAACTAAGATCTCCATATATAATGTGAAGTGATATTCTCACAGTACGTTCTCGTAAACTAAGATCTCCATATATAATGTGAAGTGATATTCTCACAGTTCGTTCTCATAAACTAAGATCTCCATATATAATGTGAAGTGATATTCTCATAGTTTTGTTCTCGTAAACTAAGATCTCCATATATAATGTGAGGTGATATTCTCATAGTTTTGTTCTCGTAAACTAAGATCTCCATATATAATGTGAAGTGATATTCTCATAGTTTTGTTCTCGTAAACTAAGAACTCCATACATGATGTGAAGTGATATTCTCATAGTTTTGTTCTCATAAACTAAGAACTCCATATAGGATGTGAAGTGATATTCTCATAGTTTTGTTCTCATAAACTAAGGTCTCCATACAGGATGTGAAGTGATGTTCTCATAGTTTTGTTCTCATAAACTAAGAACTCCATACAGGTTTTGAAGTGATGTTCTCATAATTTTGTTCTCATAAACTAAGGTCTCCATACAGGATGTGAAGTGATGTTTTCATAGTTTTGTTCTCATAAACTAAGGTCTCCATACAGGATGTGAAGTGATATTTCCATAGTTTGTTCTCATAAACTGAGATCTCCAGAAATGATGTGAAGTGATATTCTCATAGTTTGTTCTCATAAACTGAGATCTCCAGAAATGATGTGAAGTGATATTTCCATAGTTTGTTCTCATAAACTGAGATCTCCATACATGATGTGAAGTGATATTCTCAGTTTGTTCTCATAAACTGAGATCTCCATACATGATGTGAAGTGATATTCTCACAGTTTGTTTTCGTACAGTGAGATCTCTATACATGACGTGAAGTGATATTCTCATAGTCAATTCTCGTAAAATGAGGTCTTCATACATGACGTGAAGTGATATTCTCATAGTTTGTTCTCGTAAAATGAGGTCTTCATACATGATGTGAAGTGTTATTCTCATAGTTTGTTATAAACTGAGATCTTCATACATGATGTGAAGTGATATTCTCATAGTTTGTTCTCATAAACTGAGATCTTCATACATGATGTGAAGTGATATTCTCATAGTTTGTTCTCATGAAATGAAGTCTCCACAGATGTTACTGCCAGATCTAACACAGCAGACAAAAACCCATTCACACACACTCTTTCTGTTTCTATTTCTCTATTCCTTTTTTCAAACTATCGCCACCTCTCTCATTTCAATGTTTTCCTCTTTCTCCTTTCTCTCATCCTCTGGTACTTACTCCCTCACCTTCATCTCTCTCTCACCATCTCTTCCTCCCTTCCTCACTGTCTTCCTCTCATCTCTTCAATTCTTATACATGGATGCACACACACACCCACGCATACAATTTCATCAAAATAATGTGAACATTATTATTACCATTGAAAAAGATGTAGAAAAATATAACCCTTCTTGAATAAACTATTTAATCAACTACGAAGCATCCGTCACAAAGAGTACCATGTTGTCATTTTAAAGTGTTATCATTCATGCTCTTAACCTCATAGACAAGACAAGTTACTAGTCAAAGCAATTTTTTTAAACAAAAAACACAAAAACAATAGGATGCACAATTTTTTTCAAGAGTGCTATGCTTCGTTAAAGTGACCACAATACATCTCTTTTGCCCAGATGTGTGCATACAAAAAGATATGGTCCTGAATCCTGGTAAAACAGTTAATTTGAGTGTAGTTGATTTTGTGTTTTGATTAGAAGGATTCACTTATTTGCTTCCTTTTAATGAACTGTTAAAGTAGTGTGCACCTGACAAGATACAGCAAAATATGCCAGGCAATAAATTATGCAATCTACTGTTTGTGTTGTCTTTGTCTAAAGTTACCAGTCAATGTGAAGCATCAATAAGTATCACACTATTAAAATATCCTTTTTTCCTGGCATTGCTTTCATTCTTTCTTTCTTCAAACGACTGCTGCCCTCGGACAATCTGACCAAGCAAGAGAAGAGACTGTTCCTACTTGGCTTGTAGTAACGTGTTACTCAACCTGAGGGGAGACAAATGTGTACAGTTACTGCTGAAATTATATTATACAGTGAAAACAAAGTGCATCGTGTCAGGGAGACCAAGCATTGGCTGAGCACTGAGCTCTCATTCCTGAGACCTTGGTCTGATCTGTGGTAAGGGATGGAGAATCTACTGAGGGCACAACCACCCTTTCCTCCATCCAAAACCTAACCTGTATAATTCATGGCAATGATTCTAACCATGCAACTTTAAATCCTCAGGCTCTCGATCCCCAGCCCTACATCACCCAAAATGTGATAAAATCAAGCAGTATAAAGATACAGTGTCAGGGAAGTTGTGGTGGCATAGTAGCTAGATGCTTGCCTACTGACCCCAAAGGTCTTGGGTTCAAATCCATATTGAGTAGTATTTGTTTTTTAACGACCTAGGCTCTCAAGTCGACCCAGCCTAAAATGAGCATCAGGTAATGTTCTGGGAAGTAAAGACAGCAGGCATGATGTTGACCTCGACACCCAGGGAATGTTGTGTAAACTATAACAACATGAGTCCAGCATCAGCTGTGCCCGCTGTGCCACTTGCGTAACAAGAGTCTTTAGATTGTCTCAGCATAATCAACTACTCAACAATATTTCAATATGAGAAAATGCTTCTGAATAAAGGAAATATATTTAGGTAGCTGTGTTTCCTTCATACATGAGAAATAAAATAAGATCAAACTGGATCCACAATTGAGAAAGCCAAACATAACTGTGTCAGCAAAGTAACAGTTGAGTTGAGTAGTTAGGAACTAACATCACCCCATGTGTGACATTCCCATAAGAGCTCTGTTCCCATCTTCAGCAGCCAGGGAAAAGATCCAATGCAGATGATACTAGCAGCAGTTTGATTATATCTCTATCTTGCCTGTCCTTTGAGTGTAGAGTGTCAGCCAGATTCCCTGGTCACACCCACTGCATCATTGTCTCCAGATGCTAGTGATCTCCTCACACTTCAGCATCAGTCACCTGCTCCCAAGCGGCTTTGACCATTTCTAGCTTGTCATTCCTAAGTCACTGTATCTTGTCAGTGGCATTACTAAAAAGTTGACATCAGTACATTATAAAGCACAAAACACTGAATCCATCCCACTGGAACACACAAATCACTTTACCTCTTGCCAACAGAAGTAAAAGAAAACCCATACGATCACCATGGAATCTGAGGTTAAAGATGGCATCCCTGTGTTTACCTAAAGTGTGATTCTATGTCTTCATTTCCACTGCCTTCGAAACGTTGATTTGTCTTGTTGTGTGTACGTTTATCCCCATCCCCCCTTTCACAAAGCTTCTTATTCACAGTTCACTGGATTACAATTTAAATAACTACATATTTAATGTGTAATAAATACCCCAGATTTTGATTTGATTTGATTTGATTCAAGATCCGACATCACAGCACTCGGGGCATTTCCATAAGGGCTCCGTCCCCATCTTCAGCAGCCAGCGAAGAGTTCCGATACTAATGGTGCCAGTAGCTTTCTGATTAAACGTCCGTCTTGCCTTTCCTCTGAGCCTTGTGCTTCTGCCAGAACCTCTCGTCACCCCCAACTGCATCAATCTCACCAGACTGTGGTGATCCATCTGCTCCTCCGAATTGTACACGCTCTCCCACAAGGCACTAACCATGTCTGCCCTATCATGTAGCAGTATTCCACCAAGTTGTGCAGAGCCAGCCAGTCTGTCCGCCTGTTCATTTCCCAAAACACCGGCGTAACCGGTTAAAAAATCCAGACAATACTCCTCACTCGTGTCCTCCGCAGCAAAGCATGCCACTCTGCACGAAGCATACCTGTTCTGATCTTCCTCAGCATGCTTTCTGAATACGTTACAATTACAATGTGTGTGTGTGTCGTGTTCTCTAGCCAGCGGAAAGCTGCAGTGACCGCCTCCACCTCCATTCTTAAGTTGGATGTTGTGGTATCATATGCTAGGCTCTCCTGCACCAAAAGTCGACCATTAACTTTTACTAAGAAGCCCCAAGCACTTCTTTTGCCTCTTGACACTGAACCGTCTGTGTAAATGATCAAATCCTCTGAGCTAGCATTATCTTGAATTAATTGCTGAATTTCCACCTCCGTGACACCTGCTGGCCAGTCTCTGCATTCCCGGCTCAGCGTGATTATGACTACACGAGTCTGACTGCTCAGGTGGCACTTTGACCCACTTCTCTCCTCGCCTAATGTTCTCAAGGATGCAAACCTGTCTGATTGTGTCTTCTGCCTGAGCCATCCATGATTTCCGTCTTATCAGCCGCTGACCCTTAACTGCACCCAGAGCTTCATGCAGAGGGTGGTTTGTGTCTGCAGCTACCCTGAGATATGACTTTGCCTGCATCACCTTGTGCCTACCTGCAACCGTCGGCAAACCAAGGATGTATAGCATACACACCACTGGAGTGTCTCTGGTGCAACCCAGAATGACCCGCATAGCCGCGTTCTGTTTTCTAGTTTGTCCATCTGACTCTTTGAGACGGTAAGCAGTCCCAGGCCATAATCCACCACTGACAGGATCAGGTGCTGATATAGCATGAAAAGCATTCTCTGCTCTATATTAAATACCCCAGAGAGCACAATAAAAGGTGAATTATATTGTTTGTGCTATATTATTTTAATTCATAATGGGAAAACTTTTGAATTTTTAAAAGATTCTGAAAAAAATCTGCCAATTAAATCTGCTAACTTTGTCTGGAAGAAATAAACCTCACACAATGCAGTCAAAATCGGGCAGACCGACCTCTGTGTTAGAATATAAAAAGTGTGCACAAACAGTTGAGAAAGAGAGTTCTTAAGAGCTATTTCAACCCAGTCCTTTGATATGGAAGTAAATCATGGACAGTCAGCCGATAAGTGAAAAATTATGTGGTGGCTGAAGAAATGTGGTTTTACAGAAGAATGATATGAACACCCGGACAGATTTCAAAGAAGTAATGAAGATGTCCTGAACGAAACTGATTCGTGAACACATCTGACAGCTCACATCAGAAAAAAACTGTCAACATTCATTGGTCACACTGTGTGAAGGGGAAAAATGGAGTAGACTGTGACAAGGAGAAAATTGGTGGGCAAGAGAGGCAGAGGGAAGACTAAGAAAGAAGGTACTTGGCAGTTTCGGATCATGGCATCAAAGAATATCTGTATCACGGCATCCAAGAATATCTGTATCATGGCATTCAAGAATATCTGTATCACGGCATCAAAAAATATCTGTATCATGGCATCCAAGAATATCTGTATCATGGCATCCAAGAATATCTGTATCATGGCATCCAAGAATATCTGTATCATGGCATCCAAGAATATCTGTATCATGGCATCCAAGAATATCTGTATCATGGCATCCAAGAATATCTGTATCATGGCATCCAAGAATATCTGTATCATGGCATCCAAGAATATCTGTATCATGGCATCCAAGAATATCTGTATCATGGCATCCAAGAATATCTGTATCATGGCATCCAAGAATATCTGTATCATGGCATCCAAGAATATCTGTATCACAGCATCAAAGTTTATCTGTATTAAAAATGACAGACACTACATAACGAACAAAAGATGACAGAGAGACATGATTACCAGCACTATAAAGCATGGGGGGTCGCCGTGGCTAGACGCTCGCCTGTGGATCGGAAGGTCGTGGATTTCTTCCATAAATGACTTTGGCTCCCAGGTCAACCCAGCCTTGAATGAGTATGAGGAGCATTCCTGGGAAGTAAAGGCAGCCGGCATGATGTTGACATCACCCACCAAGTGCCGACAGATCTATAAAATATAAGTCTAGCCCTATATGCCCAATACGCCTAAAGATATGGAGAAGGATATTTACTTTACTTATACGGCATGAATTGCAGGAAGAGAAAAAGACATATACACAGTACAGATATGATAAACCGTATCAAAACAGAAATAATGAAGAACACTCATCATATCATGTGATGAGAAGAAGAAAACTGGAGTACATCGTGACAGTAGGGAAGTTGGAGGGGAGGAGAGGCAGAGGGAGAACGAGAGAACAGTCTGACATCATGGCATGGATGATCCATAGTGTCAGAGTTCCTTGAAAGTATATGAAACAGAAGGTTGTGGATAGACATGACTACTAATGCCACATGGTATGGAGGATTCTGAGTGTCAGAGTTCATTGAAAGTATACGAAACAGAAGGTTGTGGATAGACATGACTACTAATGACACATAGAATGGAGGATCCCGAGTGTCAGAGTTCATTGAAAGTATACGAAACAGAAGGTTGTGTATAGACATGACTACTAATGCCACATGGTATGGAGGATCCTGAGTGTCAGAGTTCATTGAAAGTATACGAAACAGAAGGTTGTGGACAGACATGACTACTAATTACACATGGCATGGACTTTAAGAAGACTCACCACTCCATCGCTTCATCCAGACCCTCCCCCTTGATGGCTGATGTCTTGAAAATCTGGTATTTTCTAGTCTTCAAGGCTGAAAGCCCTAGTGCGTTTGCAACTTCCAGAGCTGACATTGATCCTTCTATATCTTGTTTATTAGCAAGTACAACCAGCACAGCCTTTTTCAGCTCATCTTCCTAGAAATAAAAAACACCAGCTGATTCTGTTGACAATTTAATTCCAAGGAACGGAGAGATATGCAAAACTATAAGAATACATAAATCTGCATGATGTGAAATTCATGAGCAGTTAGTAGCTGATCACAAAACTGATTTATTTGTATGTTTTTTTTTTAAATTTTAATGCACAACTAATGCATTACTTTGAGAAAACTCGTGGACCTCAGAATCAAAGCCAAGCAGTCAAGTAAGAAGTACAAACCTCCAACATGGACACAAGCTCCTGCTTGCTAATGCCAATACGGTCTCTATCCATGCTGTCCACAACGTAGATGATAGCGTCTGTGTTGGAGTAATAACAACGCCAGTATGGTCTAGGAAACAGTGGAATAGCAACAGATTATTGTTAAAACAAAAGGTACAATAACCAATAAGAGAAGTATGCAAATGTATGTTAAAGGTATATTGACATGTTGTTGTTGGCCGCTTCCATCTTTCCAGCTGACAATGTTATCCTTTTATACAAGGTCTTGGGAAAGGGGAAGGGTGAGGGTTGTGTGGTTTAAAGGCATGGCTTCCACTTGGAGTGCTGGAGGTCCCGGTTCAAGCCCTGGTAAAGGCTGAGATTTTTTTACGTGGACTTCTAGTAATTTTCCCTGGTCTCTGGGCTGTAAGATCGAACGCTCGTGTGTATTGTTGCGCACGTAAAAAAATCCCTTGGCAACTGGAAATCGAAAGAGTAGCCTAACGGTGCAGCCCAGGCAAAATTTGGAGTTGAAAATTTACCCAAACTATTTCAGGATCCTCGTGGGTGCTACTTGATCGTGCACTGCACTGAGATTCTTCAGACTCAGGCTTGGTCTAAACCTAAACAAGGTCTTCTCCTTGTGCATTCTGGGAGCCTCAGGCCACCAGGCTTGTTGTAAAAGGCGACTAATTAGGAGTGTTTCTTTCAAAGTCGGAGTGTACCTGCCTTAAAGGCGATGATCCAACAGTCTGCGTACAAATAAGCCAAATCTGTCAAACAGATGTGAACGCAAAACTCAAGTTCTGTAACAAGACTAAAGTCCAGAGGTGAATGAACCACCAGAACTTTCCGCTGGAGTTGAAAACTGGTGACACAAAGAAGAAGCATATAGCAGGCTAATTACAGTTGACAATTTTGAAAAGCCCATGAATAATTTTATAAATGTTCAAAGAAGTTGGCAGGGAAAAAAAAGAGTTCCCGCTCTCAATTAATATTCTGAATAAATTGAACTTCATTTGTTTATAGTTTTAAAACAAATTCAGTATTTATAAGTACAATCATTTTTAATAACAATTTTAACATATGCCACAGAAAGTTGGAGAATTTTCAGTGAAGGCATGGAGTGAAAGTCAAATGCATTAAAAAACAAATAGATAAGGAAACTGATGAATATTAAATGGCATGAATTAGGGCAAGGCAAAGAAACAAAAGAAACATCTGGACAACAACTTGTATCAACAGTTATAAGACAAAGAAATGAGAGAAACATCTGGACAACTGCTTGTATCAACAATTGTAAGACAAAGAAATGAGAGAAACATCTGGACAACTGCTTGTATCAACAGTTATAAGACAAAGAAATGAGAGAAACATCTGGACATCTGCTTGTATCAACAGTTATAAGACAAAGAAATAAGAGAAACATCTGGACAACTGCTTGTATCAACAATTGTAAGACAAAGAAATGAGAGAAACATCTGGACAACTGCTTGTATCAACAGTTATAAGACAAAGAAATGAGAGAAACATCTGGACAACTGCTTGTATCAACAGTTATAAGACAAAGAAATGAGAGAAACATCTAGACAACTGCTTGTATCAACAGTTATAAGACAAAGAAATAAGAGAAACATTTGGACAACTGTCAGTATCAACAATTATAAGACAAAGAAATGAGAGAAACATTTGGACAACTGTCTGTATCAACAATTATAAGACAAAGAAATGAGAGAAACATCTGGACAACTGCTTGTATCAACAGTTATAAGACATAGAAGATGGCAATATACTGGGCACATCCTGAAGAGAAGCAGACAGAGAATCATTAAACAAGCACTGCAATGAGAAGCAAACTGACTGACGAAACTGGGACGCCCAAGAGAAATCCTAAGATGAACATTGTTGACAGAGGCCACAGGTGTTGGACGATAAACAATTGCAAAATAAAGGCAAAACAGGGTGAAAATGTCTTAGATTACTATTTACTGCCCAGCCATTTTAGTTTTCCATATTTATCTGTTTGTGCTCTCTGCCTCTCCTTTCTAGTGTTTTACCAGATAAGGGTTAATGTTCTAGTAATTCTCTGCTGTTGATATGCCTCATAAATTTATCATCATCACCACAGTCAGTTCAATAGGGTTCTGGGGCCCCATTTAAGAGGGGGTGGGAAGGACAAACCAACTGCCCCCCCCACCCCCAACAAGCGTACTGTACATGGCAACTAACTAGAGATGTTTCCTTCAAAGTCAAAGTGCATCTGCCTGACAGGCAAGGAACTGAGTCTCGAATAGGATCAAAGTCCAGAAGTGGATGAACAACCAGAACTTTCCACCAGAGTTTACAGCTGGTGAACACTAAGAAGAAGAAGGTCATCATAGTTCCATACACAACATGTCGTTGGGTCACCAGTTGTTCACTGTCTGATCATTTCCCTCCACCTCTGCCAATCTGATACAGTTGAAGGTCATCATAGTTCAATATAAAACATGTCGTTGGGTCACCAGCTGTTCACTGTCTGATCATTTCCCTCCACCTCTGCCAATCTGATACAGTTGAAGGTCGTCATAGTTCCATATACAACATGTCGTTGGGTCACCAGTTGTTCACTGTCTGATCATTTCCCTCCACCTCTGCCAATCTGATACAGTTGAAGGTCATCATAGTTCAATATACAACATGTCGTTGGGTGACCAGCTGTTCACTGTCTGATCATTTCCCTCCACCTCTGCCAATCTGATACAGTTGAAGGTCATCATAGTTCAATATACAACATGTCGTTGGGTGACCAGCTGTTCACTGTCTGATCACTTCCCTCCACCTCTGCCAATCTGATACAGTTGAAGGTCGTCATAGTTCCATTTAAAACATGTCGTTGGGTGACCAGTTGTTCACTGTCTGATCATTTCCGTCCACCTCTGCCAATCTGATACAGTTGAAGGTCATCATAGTTCAATATACAACATGTCGTTGTGTGACCAGCTGTTCACTGTCTGATCACTTCCCTCCACCTCTGCCAATCTGATACAGTTGAAGGTCGTCATAGTTCCATTTAAAACATGTCGTTGGGTGACCAGTTGTTCACTGTCTGATCATTTCCGTCCACCTCTGCCAATCTGATTCAGTTGATGGTCATCATAGTTCCATATACAACATGTCGTTGGGTGACCAGTTGTTCACTGTCTGATCACTTCCCTCCACCTCTGCCAATCTGATACAGTTGACTTGATGTCTGCATGTTTTGAGGCCTTGTCCATTCAACTACATTCTGGATCCAGGTCTGTCTTGTTCTGCCTCTTCTCCTCTTCCACTTTAAAGAGCCCTCTGGTATAAAATTTCAGTATAATAAAATAACTAGGGATACTACCTGATGCTGGTTTGTCCGCCAAGATCCCAAACTTGAAACTTCAAATTCTTGTAGGTGACTGTCTCCACGTTGAATCCAATGGCTGGGGAGCATAAAGTGAAGAGCTTAACAGACCAAATAAACTGAAAAAGTAAATTAAGATCTTGCAGAAGAATGAGCCCAAACACAATGTCAAGTGCCTGTGTGGCTATGGGACGCCTTTAGGTGACGATAGTGACTAGCACTTAGATGATGACCACTTAGCGACTATGTGCTCAACAGCCCATGTGAGATCCCGACTAGGAGAGCGTGACGAACGAATGAAGACTCCAGGATTGGCGAGGTGTTAAATGAACTGATGGTGAACAACAGACTGGACTAAACGGACAGAGCAAATGTTTTTTGGGGAGTTGGCTCAGAGACCTAGACTGTGACGTGTTTAGTTTTTTTTTACGGCGAGAAATTTCATAATTGCATTTGGACACGTAGCGATGGTTTAGGGAATGTTCAGTGCTAGTGTGATGGTGATACCCCCCCCCCCCCCCCCCCCAACGGCTTTGACAGGGTGGCTAAACCAAATGAGGGTAGCCGAATGGTTTAGTAGTCTTCGGTGAGTTAGGAGATCAACATCTGTTCAACAGACCTGATGGTGGGTACCAGCAACGCTCTGTGGAGTGCAAAGAGCACGGTGAGGCAGGTAGAAAACCCTGGTCATCCACTGCATCTGTCTTTATCTTCAGCCGTCTCGACTTGTCCTGCCACTAGATTCAGATGGACACAGGCCAGAGAGTGAGGTCGATGAAATTGCACAACTCTTCCTTACTTTAAACAAATTCATCGCTCTAGTCACTTTTTTCATACATTTCATACAACCCACTTATCGTGTCCTGTAGCAATGGGTGAGCTACAAAGCGATAGGTGTGGGTACACTGGCAGTCGTAGTTGCAGGCCTGCACACAGGCGGCTCAGGCCATAGGGCCGTCTTCCACTGACTGGAGCAACTGAGGGATTTGGCAGCCCCTGAGCGACTGAGCAGCCCTCTTCAGGAATGTGCTGCTTAACTCCATGGCATGAGGAAGGGACTAGAAAAGGTACCCTAAACATTGCCTGCTTCACCACTACCTTACTAGCTTACCGCTACTGGTGGGTGCCCTATCTCAGCGGTCAACATGCAAGGAAAAAAGGGAAAGATATTTCCCACTCACTGTTGGCACATGGAATATGCACACCATGCTTAACACTGAAAATACTTTTAGACCTGAGTGGCGCACTGCTCTCATTGGGAGGGAACTGGTGAGATGCAACACTGACATTAGCAGCACTGAGTCAAACAAGGCATGCAGGCAAGGGACAACTACACGAAGAGGGTGCAGGTTACACATTCTTTTGGAGCAGCAGGAAAGCTGAAAAGAGACTGGTCACAAGTTGGTTTTGCCATAAAAACAGCAATTGTAGGCAAGCTAGTGAGACCCCCTACAGGAATCAATGACAGACTAATGATGATGAAGAAACCCCTACAATGTGGGAGAAAATATGCCACCATCGTCAACGCTTAGGCACCAACCATGACAAACCAGGATGATGTTAAAGACAAATTCTATGATAAATTGCATGCAGTTACAGCAACAAAAGCAGACAAGCTCTTCATTCCTGGTGAATTTAATGCTAGAGCTGGCTCCGATAACATCTCCTGGAATGGTACTATCAAAAAGTATGGAGTAGGTCGCTGTGACAGCAATAGACTTCTTCTCCTCCAGACTTGCACTGAGCATAATCTCATTACCACACAAACAATTTTATGACCACCTACTAAAAACAGAACTTACTGGATGCATTATGGATCAAAACACTGGCACCTCATTGATTATGTGATAGTTAGAAAAAGGAACAGGCAGGATGTTCAAGTTCGGTGCCAAGTGCTGGACAGATCATCGCCTCATTGTGTTGTTGCGGGCAATAGTGTCATCTTTGTCTCAGATGTGAGCAATATGGTGTAATCTATGTCTCAGATGTGGGCAATACATTGTCATCTTTGTTTTAGATGTGGGCAATACAGTGTCATCTTTGTCTCAGATATGGGCAATATAGTGTCATCATCATCTCAGATGTGGGCAATACAGTGTCATCTTTGTCTCAGATGTGCGCAATATAGTGTCATCTTTGTCTCAGATGTGCGCAATATAGTGTCATCTTTGTCTCAGATGTTGGCAATACAGTGTCGCTAACGGTGTTGACAGAATCCATTATTTTACATATAAAAAGACGTTGATCCTGGTTAATTGTAAACACCCCCCCCCCCCTTCTTTCCCACTCAAGAAAATCTACAGATATTGCATTTATGAACCAAACCATGCAATCTAAAAATAGAGCAGAGACTTGCAGAGCACAGCACACATGTCTGGACCACAATGCCTGAACAACCGATGTGCCAGGCTGGTGACATAACAGCTCGAGTACTTACTGGGTATGGTGGTGACCACTTCACCAACTTGAAGTCTGTACAAAATGGTCGTCTTTCCTGCCCCATCCAAACCTAGAATTAGAATACGCCGCTCCTTGCTGCCAAACAATCCAGAGAAATAGCTCAGCAGGCCACCTGGCAATGAATTGTCATTGAAACTGTTTCAACTGGTTACTTAATAATAGAGTCAACAAAACTGCACTCTCTGCAAACATATAAGTGCTCAGTGATTATAAGTATGTACTAGAAGATATGCATAATAAGTTGTCATCACTTCAGAACTGGGTCTTAAAGGTATTTTTGCCCCAATAAAAATGCAAAAAGCAAAGAATGAAGAGAGAGAAAAGTAACAATGAAATTCATTATATGTTTAAATCCCCAATAATTACTAGGACTAACAGATGGTGAAAGCATACAGAGACAATAGTAGATAACAGAGTGACAAAAACTGTGTACATAAAAGAGTTCAATAGGAGTAGACAGACCGTAAAAGACCGAAAAAGGATGGTGGAGAAATAATATGCAGGCAGACCTACAAATACTTCGAGTCACCAATGTAAAAGACAAGGGTAATATCAATGAACCTGAAGGGCTGGAAATGTTGAAGAAAAATAAAAGGTCACTTATGAGCCTGATGTTAGACCTGAAATTTCTTGGGCAGAATGGAAAGATATAAAATTATTGTTAAGATCTGGCAGAATGGAAAGATATAAAATTATTATTAAGATCTGGCAGAATGGGAGTGATGCACTATGAATATAACAAACCAAGTAGAGACTGTAAAGCAGTGATTCTCAACCCTCCTAATGCTGCAACCCTTGAATACTGTTCTTTTTTGTGTGGAGTTTCTCATGTTGTGAAGACCCCTAACCAGACAATTATTTTGGTTGCTACTTCATAACTTCAGTGAATATGTGTTTTCTTATGGTCTTTGGCAACCTCTATGAAAGGATCGTTTGACCCCAAAAAAGGGTAATTCAACCCAAAAAAAGGGTTGTGACCCATAGGTTAAGAACCGCTGCTCTAAAGCATACACTGAATAGGGACCCAAGATGGTGAAGAGTGGTTGTAACAGTGTTTATTGGCTGTGATTTTTCTTTTGCATCCGTGAGTTTTCTGGTCAGGGGCTGCTACTGTGTGTGTATTTCCAGTGTTTGTTTTGTGTGGGAGTAGCATGTATTGTGGCTGTGCTATGTCGAAGCAGGATGACGACAGATAGAAATAGCTGCCTTGACTGTGCTCACAATGTTTTTATTGTGGGGGTCCACTCTCCAGGAAAACAGATCTCATTAGCAAGAAAATGCAACAGCCTAAAGAGCAAACTATAAGAAAACAACTGTCCCCCGAAATGGAATGTTTCAATCATTTTGTAGGTGATGAGGAATCCAAATATACAAGCCTCCCACACTGATCTGGCAGTGAACTTTACAAAATATTGACTCTAAAGCCCTTTTAAAAGCAGTTACTGTCTGTCCAAACAGTACAGAATAAAATAGTAAAAGCCTGAGGTAAATGAAGAACATGGACAGATAATATCAAAGAACATTTAAGATGTTCAACAGTACGATACAAGCATTAGAAATACAATGCTTTAGAAAATTCTTGGCATTTCATACAGAGACCACATTACAAACGAATAGATTAACCATATAAGTATACAGCACATTGGACACTATGAACCTCTATTAACTACCGTGAACAGGCTAAAAATGCAATGGTATGGACATGTAATAAGATCTAATGGCCTCTCAAAAACAATACTGTAGGGCTCAGTAGAGGGAAAAAGCAAGAAAGACCTGGTTACAGAACCCGACTGACTGAACAGGCCTCAGGCATGCAACCATGAAGTCCATCGCAACTGACCGCCAAAGGTGGAGAGAGCTGATCAGACAGTCAACAGAAACTGGTGACCCAACAACACGCAGTGTTACTGGATAATGATTAACAGTACGAAGGTTCTATCTATGGTCAGGGCAGCCAGAAAAGCCACAACAAGGAAACTGTACCTTCCCTGACATCCAGGGCAGTAATGATATAGTCAGTGCTGGGTGTAGGAATAAGCTCAAGAAGCTGAAGGCCTCACAATCTGTAAGGGCTTCTTAACTTTTTCACAAATGCAGTTGCTTTAAATATATAGTAACCCTTTCTCTGCTAAAGACGAAATGTTACGCCTTCCCAGTAGACTGCTAAAGACGTAATTCTGGTTGGCTGGCACAGTAGTAAGGTAGGCTGGCACAGAGGTAAGGTTGGCTGGCACAGAAGTAAGGTTGGCTGGCACAGTGGTAAGATTGGCTGGTGGAATGGTAAGGTTGGCTGGCACAGAGGTAAGGTAGGCTGGCACAGAAGTAAGGTTGGCTGGCACAGTAGTAAGGTAGGCTGGCACAGAAGTAAGGTTGGCTGGCACAGTAGTAAGGTAGGCTGGCACAGAGGTAAGGTTGGCTGGCACAGAAGTAAGGTAGGCTGGCACAGTGGTAAGGTCGGCTGGCACAGTAGTAAGGTAGGCTGGCACAGTGGTAAGGTTGGCTGGTGGAGTGGTAAGGTTGGCTGGTGGAGTGGTAAGGTTGGCTGGCACAGAAGTAAGGTTGGCTGGCACAGTGGTAAGATTGGCTGGTGGAATGGTAAGGTAGGTTGGCACAGTGGTAAGGTTGGCTGGCACAGTGGTAAGGTTGGCTGGTGGAGTAGTAAGGTTGGCTGGTGGAGTGGTAAGGTTGGCTGGTGGAGTGGTAAGGTTGGCTGGCACAGTGGTAAGGCTGGCTGGCACAGTGGTAAGGTTGGCTGGTGGAGTGGTAAGGTTGGCTGGTGGAGTGGTAAGGTTGGCTGGTGGAGTGGTAAGGTTGGCTGGCACAGTGGTAAGGCTGGCTGGCACAGTGGTAAGGTTGGCTGGTGGAGTGGTAAGGTTGGCTGGTGGAGTGGTAAGGTTGGCTGGTGGAGTGGTAAGGTTGGCTGGCACAGTGGTAAGGCTGGCTGGCACAGTGGTAAGGTTGGCTGGTGGAGTAGTAAGGTTGGCTGGTGGAGTGGTAAGGTTGGCTGGTGGAGTGGTAAGGTTGGCTGGCACAGTGGTAAGGTTGGCTGGTGGAGTAGTAAGGTTGGCTGGTGGAGTGGTAAGGTTGGCTGGTGGAGTGGTAAGGTTGGCTGGCACAGTGGTAAGGCTGGCTGGCACAGTGGTAAGGTTGGCTGGTGGAGTGGTAAGGTTGGCTGGCACAGTGGTAAGGTTGGCTGGTGGAGTAGTAAGGTTGGCTGGTGGAGTGGTAAGGTTGGCTGGCACAGTGGTAAGGCTGGCTGGCACAGTGGTAAGGTTGGCTGGTGGAGTGGTAAGGTTGGCTGGCACAGTGGTAAGGTTGGCTGGTGGAGTAGTAAGGTTGGCTGGTGGAGTGGTAAGGTTGGCTGGTGGAGTGGTAAGGCTGGCTGGCACAGTGGTAAGGTTGGCTGATGGAGTGGTAAGGTTGGCTGGTGGAGTGGTAAGGTTGGCTGGTGGAGTGGTAAGGTTGGCTGGCACAGTGGTAAGGCTGGCTGGCACAGTGGTAAGGCTGGCTGGCACAGTGGTAAGGTTGGCTGGTGGAGTGGTAAGGTTGGCTGGTGGAGTGGTAAGGTTGGCTGGTGGAGTGGTAAGGTTGGCTGGCACAGTGGTAAGGCTGGCTGGCACAGTGGTAAGGTTGGCTGGTGGAGTGGTAAGGTTGGCTGGCAGAGTGGTAAGGTCGGCTGGCACAGTGGTAAGGTAGGTTGGCAAAGTGGTAAGGTTGGCTGGTGGAGTGGTAAGGTTGGCTGGCGCAGTGGTAAGGTCGGCTGGCGCAGTGGTAAGGTCGGCTGGCGCAGTGGTAAGGTTGGCTGGCGCAGTGGTAAGGTTGGCTGGCGCAGTGGTAAGGCTGGCTGGTGGAGTGGTAAGGTTGGCTGGCGCAGTGGTAAGGTTGGCTGGCGCAGTGGTAAGGTTGGCTGGCGCAGTGGTAAGGTTGGCTGGCGCAGTGGTAAGGCTGGCTGGTGCAGTGGTAAGGCTGGCTGGTGGAATGGTAAGGTTGGCTGGCGCAGTGGTAAGGCTGGCTGGTGGAGTGGTAAGGTTGGCAGGTGGAATGGTAAGGTCGGCTGGCGCAGTGGTAAGGTCGGCTGGCGCAGTGGTAAGGTTGGCTGGCGGAGTGGTAAGGTCGGCTGGCACAGTGGTAAGGTTGGCTGGCAGAGTGGTAAGGTTGGCTGGCACAGTGGTAAGGTGGGCTGGCACAGTGGTAAGGTTGGCTGGCACAGTGGTAAGGTTGGCTGGCACAGTGGTAAGGTGGGCTGGCACAGTGGTAAGGTTGGCTGGCACAGTGGTAAGGTTGGCTGGCACAGTGGTAAGGTGGGCTGGCACAGTGGTAAGGTTGGCTGGCAGAGTGGTAAGGTTGGCTGGCGGAGTGGTAAGGTTGGCTGGCGGAGTGGTAAGGTTGGCTGGCACAGTGGTAAGGTTGGCTGGCACAGTGGTAAGGTTGGCTGGCACAGTGGTAAGGTTGGCTGGCACAGTGGTAAGGTTGGCTGGCACAGTGGTAAGGTTGGCTGGCGGAGTGGTAAGGTTGGCTGGCGGAGTGGTAAGGTTGGCTGGCGGAGTGGTAAGGTTGGCTGGCGGAGTGGTAAGGTTGGCTGGCACAGTGGTGAGGTTGGTTGGCACAGTGGTAAGGTTGGCTGGTGGAGTGGTAAGGTTGGCTGGTGGAGTAGTAAGGTTGGCTGGTGGAGTAGTAAGGTTGGCTGGTGGAGTGGTAAGGTTGGCTGGTGGAGTAGTAAGGTTGGCTGGTGAAGTGGTAAGGTTGGCTGGTGGAGTGGTAAGGTTGGCTGGCGGAATGGTAAGATTGGCTGGCACAGTGGTAAGGTTGGCAGGTGGAATGGTAAGGTTGGCTGCCAAAGTGGTAAGGTTGGCAGGTGGAATGGTAAGGTTGGCTGGCAAAGTGGTAAGGTTGGCAGGTGGAATGGTAAGGTTGGCTGGCAAAGTGGTAAGGTTGGCAGGTGGAATGGTAAGGTTGGCTGGCACAGTGGTAAGGTTGGCAGGTGGAATGGTAAGGTTGGCTGGCAAAGTGGTAAGGTTGGCAGGTGGAATGGTAAGGTTGGCTGCCAAAGTGGTAAGGTTGGCAGGTGGAATGGTAAGGTTGGCTGGCAAAGTGGTAAGGTTGGCAGGTGGAATGGTAAGGTTGGCTGCCAAAGTGGTAAGGTTGGCAGGTGGAATGGTAAGGTTGGCTGGCAAAGTGGTAAGGTTGGCTGGCACAGTGTTAAGGTTGGCTGGCACAGTGGTAAGGTTGGCAGGCAGAATGGTAAGGTTGGCTGGCAGAGTGGTAAGGTTGGCTGGCAGAGTGGTAAGGTTGGCTGGCAGAGTGGTAAGGTTGGCTGGCAGAGTGGTAAGGTTGGCTGGCGGAGAAGTAAGGTTGGCTGTCGGAGAGGTTAGGTTGGCTGACAGAGAGGTAAGGTTGGCTGGCAGAGAGGTAAGGTTGGCTGGCAGAGTTGTAAGGTTGGCTGGCAGAGTGGTAAGGTTGGCTGGCAGAGAGGTAAGGTTGGCTGGCGGAGAGGTTAGGTTGGCTGACAGAGAGGTAAGGTTGGCTGGCAGAGAGGTAAGGTTGGCTGGCGGAGAGGTAAGGTTGGCTGGCGGAGAGGTAAGGTTGGCTGGCACAGTGTTAAGGTTGGCTGGCAGTGGTAAGGTTGACTGGCAGAGTGGTAAGGAGGTTGGCTGGCAGAGTGAGTAGCAGCGATGGGACCAATGAAATGTTCTTTTTATATTTTTATAGAGAGAAAAGTTGGAGTCTCTAGGACAGAAGCTACTTGTCACAGGTCTCTATGAAGTCTGTCGTGTGATAGACATTTCTTACTTGCCATACAGCCTGGTTTCATTTTCCGGCTATCTTCCTAACACCGGTCCCAAATTATGGAGGCCGAAATTATACACTAACAGGGCCTTAGTCACATGTAAATTGTGGACCTCCGCCTGTGACAACACATCATACTGTGAAAAAAGATTCTGCCTTGTTAAAGTCACTGCCGAGATTATCTCCTGCGCCTCGGAACGGGGCTAAACTAGATGGCTGGGACTCACAAGCAGTAGCTAACCGCATCTCCTGCAGCTTTCTCCATTTTATTTGCATGTGAGTCCATGTCATCCAGTTGAGCCCCGCTCCGCGCGTAGTGGCGCGGGAGATACTCTCGGCGGTTTGCTGCGATCTCCCTGCCGACAAGAGAAGAGTGTCCAGAACCGGCAATCTAAATATAACGAATGGTCTGTTTCTTTCAATACTTTCATGTGTGGAGACTGAATGGTCCTCTGGATTCTCTCCTGTGTGGAAAGTGTTCAAATGGGTTATCATACAAATAGCTGCTTTGATCTCAGTTTTATTTTCCTCTTAAGTACATCCGGTATCCGACAGATTTGAACTTGCTTAAACATTTTTTGCCAAGTAGTCTGCACTTTCATAGCAGTCAGTGAGTCAGAAGACGTTGTTGTGAATCATGAATCACAACACTTATAAATATAAAAAGAAAAATTAGCAAAATAAAAATGGCTCACCCATTGTATGGCCTTTCTCGCGTATTAGGGGGGAAACGACACTTAAATTAGTTTTTCTAATTCTGCGAACCTAAATGCACCAATTTGTATTAAACTAACAACAACTATAAATTATAAACCGTCCGCATCCCACAAGTTTATCGCTACGTGGAATGTAAGTAAACACACAGAAGAACTACTTCCGGGTTCCGTAATGACTAAATTCATCATCGTCATCAAGTGCCTTGCCAGCTAGCGTAGGCGTTCATGCGTCGCCATAGATCTCGGTCTCTGGTGTTCTGGATCAATTAAACTGATAATATTCCTCCTTGCCACTGTCTTAAGCCATTCACTATCATGTCTCTTGATCTGCCTCTTCTACCAGTGATCTTTCCAGTCGTCCTGGCATTTTACAGTGCTCCTTTTCTCATTCAAACTAATGGACGTAAATTTGCCTAGAAAAACTACACAACAGACAAGGGCTGTTGGGGTTGGTTCTGCAACGTCCTGTAAAGGATAAGTTCGGGTCCAGAAAGCAGCCTAGCAGTCGCAGCAGGGCCATTGGGTCAGCCTGGAGAGCGCATTGCCGAGAGTACTCACATGGGGTGAGATCTGGCGAATGACCCTGTTGCGACTGAGCTTTATTGTTCGTTCGGCGTACGATGTATTACCGTCCGGTGTTTATATGGTTAAGTGGTCTGCGACTAATGATCCGACTTGCCCGCTGTGCAAAGCGAAGCAGACTCTTGAGCACGTCCTGTCCGCATGCAGGAAAGCCCTAGGTCAAGGCCGATATACCTGGCGACACAACAAGATGCTAAAAGAGTTAGCAGCCGTTGTTGACCAGGCTAGGATGCGGGCCAACGCTAGGGCCAGTGCTAAAATCGTCCCCATACGTTTCCTCAAGGCTGGGCAAATTCGCCAAAGTAAAGTCAACAAAAACGCATTAGCTCCATCTATGCTAGACTTTGCGAGGGACTGGTTACTGCCGGTTGATCTGCCAGGCCATGAAAGGTACCCTTAGTTAATCCGGAAGACCGGCCTGCGACCTGACATAGTTCTCCACTCTGCGGAGAAACAGCAGCTCATCCTAATTGAGCTGACTGTCCCGTATGGTTCGCGTATGGATGAAAATCACCTGTACAAGCTCAAGAAATACAGTGATTTAGCAGCCGGTCTGAGGAGAGACGAGGCGTACACAGTACGGGTCTTTGCCGTCGAAGTGGGAGCAAGAGGCCTCGTTTCCACTTCGCTCTACAATGTGGTTAAAGAACTAGGATTGCGCGGTAATGAACGGAAACGGACACTTAAGCAGCTGGGCGAGGTTGTCGAGAGGGCCTCGAGCTGGCTTTGGACGCAACGGAACAACGTAGGGGACGGGCCTCGGTGAGCTGGTCTGGGTGTCTTGTGGAAAAGGGTTTCTCATCCCTTGAAAGTTCATCGTGTCCGAAGTGTCTGCCAGTGTTCCTCTGCCACCTGCTAACAAAAGTCCAACATGTGTCCGGTATACCAATCGTAAGCTTGTCGCTCGGTCGTCCAGGTATGCTGACTGTTCTAATTAGGCTACCGCGATGACTTCTTATCTCACAGTACCTTCTGCAAATCACCAAGTCGTCTTGTCCCTATCCGAAAGAAAACACCGTCTGGTAATTTCGTGCAGCAGAGTACCAGCCCTGAGCTTCATGAACTCAGGTGGGCCCACCTCTGAAAACGTCTAGGAGGTCGTGGGCCGAAACGTTTGTCGACGAGGGATAACTTCTACTGATGACTGGTAGATCCCTGCTGTACTTGCTCCCTGTGAGTTTATTCCTATAAGCAAGAAACTTAACCTTTTCTCATTACATAACCAGAGAACTTCTCATTGTTGTATATAATGTTCTACTTTCATTAGCCATTTCTAGTCATTCAATGTTGGTTGTTCTGGCAGTCCAAGGTATTCTCAGGACTGACATCTCAGTTGCCTCCAAACTCTTCTTAATTTGCTTGCTCACATTCCAAGATTCTCTACCATACAACAGAACAGGCTCGATATAACATTTCAGTACTCATTTCCTATGTTTAATGAGAGTGATTTTTTTACGTAAAATACTTTTCTTCTAGAAAGCTGTCTTTACCTGGCCAATTCTGCTCTTAATGGCCAAGTTGCAGAGGCAATAATTTCACGAATAATCACTTTTTAAAATGTGCTTTCTGTAGGTTAACTGAAGCTCAAAGGCGCCAGAACCTAGGGGGCTAGGACACATTGAGCCCCACAAAATTGGGAATGGCCTCAGCCCTCATAATTCTTAGGGGGCCCCAGCTCCACCCCCTCAAAATTTGGGTAGAGGCTATGTGGATACCCCTAACCATGTACAGACATTCATTTGTGGGCATTCAAATGTGGGCTCAGTCCTCCGATGCAGCAGCCACTCCAAGGTACCTATACTAATTGTTCCCATGAGAAGCTGACTATAATGTCTCCTATCTCGGCCTCGAAGGCGACATAGACGTGTTTTAACATGATTTAATCCAATGTCATGCAATCATGTTAGTGTCAGAGATTTGTCATTATCCACTAGCCCAGTCCGTACAGCGTTAGCGAAATCTGCTCTGTCCATGCTTCTTCCCACATGTGTTGGTGCATGCATTGCTTGCCAGTTGGTCTGCTCACTTATTACCCTTTATCCCCCCCCCCCCCCTCATGTGTGTAAATCCAAGAGAGGGAGGTTAAGTGCGATTTTTCCAATGCCTTCTACCCAGTCAGAGCGCATACTGCCTGTTGCTATCTTCAGAAGCATGTTCATGGAATCTGATACAATTACTGTCTGTGAGGTTTTTTGCTCAGATATCCAGGCAGAGGTTATCGCCATGGTCATGCTTTTCTAAGTATCTGTTTAGTGATGAGAGTTCAGCTAAAAACTGACATCATAGTACTTGGGAAATCCCATAAGTGTTTCATCCTCATCTTCAACAGCTAGCTAAGAGTTCCCATTCCGATGGTGACAGTAGCAGTTTCATAAACAGATTATGTGTCCGTCTTGCCTTTCCCTGTCGGCCAGACCCCCTTGTCATTCCTACCTGTACCAATCTCTCCAGACCATAATCATCCATTCGTGCTTTTTTATTGTTAGCTTTCTCCTAAGGGACCTTAACCACATCTAAGTTATTCATCAGTTTACCCAATGGTGCACACCCGGCAAGTATGTCTGCTGATTATTTCCTAGCAGTCCTGCGTTACCCTGAGACAACATCCAATGGACGCTAATGAACCGAGACTTCTGAAGCAACGCTTGCAAGTCTGCACGGAGCATGCATGTCTCTACCTTTCTTAACAGGTTTTACGACCCTTCTCAGATTCTCCTTTCCATGCTCACTAATTTTCATTCCTTCTTTGTTTTGAGTGACCATGTCTAGCACTGGTAGCCAATGGCTTTAAAATAGGTTATTATACATTGTATTGGTCATTTTGTTAGCTTATATTCGTTTGCCCACCCAGGGGCTTTCAATATAGTACATAATGTAGTCAATAAAAAACATGTTAGAAGGCTGAATGGTGTTAATGAGCTTGCTCATATTGTATTGGCCACCTGCTCGTTGTGATTGAAACCTTGAGATAGCGGTTCTGGACGGTAGGAACAGTCAATCATTATATCAGCTGCTGACTGATCCATTAGAATAGTGGTTCTGGATGGTAGGAACAGTCAATCATTACATCAGCTGCTGACTGATCCATTATAATAGTGGTTCTGGACGGTAGGAACAGTCAATCATTATATCAGCTGCTGACTGATCCATTATAATAGTGGTTCTGGACGGTAGGAACAGTCAATCATTACATTAGCTGCTGACTGATCCATTAGAATAGTGGTTCTCAACCTTCCTAATGTCGCGACCCTTTAATACAATTTCTCATGTGGTGACCCCAACCATAGTTATTTTCCTTGCTACCTCATAACTTCAATGAATGTGTGTTGCGATGGTCTTTGGGGACCAATGTGAAAGGGTCGTTCAACTCCCCCCCCCCCCCCAGGTCGCGACCCACAGGTTGAGAACTGCTGCGTTAGAAAAAAACTGTGTAAAGGTTTTATTGTTTTTATCGGTTGCATCCCTTGGCAAAGTGGTCAAATCTCAGTTGATCAGGGTTTCCCTACGGGCTGTGACCTGAGAGTTGACCACTCTGAAATTATATATATATATATATATATATATATATATATATATATATATATATATATATATATATATATATATATATATATATATATATATTATATATATATATATATATATATATATATATATATATATATATATATATATATATAATATATACACACACACACACACATATATAAATATATATGTGTGTGTGTGTGTGTATACATATGTATGGATGGCAGACTCCAGAAGAGACCCCGGATACCCCTTTGAAATTCCAAAGAAGTTGTAATTAGGCCACCCATAATTGCTACAACCAGCCTGATGTAAATGCAGTCGTGGATAAGGTAGCCAATGCTGCTTTAATCGGACAGAACGGCGGAATCGGAATACTGATGACTACTCAAGACTTTCCGCCGGAATTTATCACATAAGAAGTACAGTATGGAACACTGAGACTGACAGATAGGTGGATGGATCGATAAATACATACATAGATACCAATAGCAATTAGATTACAATGTATCAACTTGACTCAGATCTATGCCATCCACTTTGGTTTTGTAAGATATTGTTTCTTTGTTATTACCATTACCTCTGTTTTCCCCGCTGTTTAAACTAAGACCTTTTTTTTTTTTGAGTTTACTATAATGTCTATCATCTCTTGTAACCAAATTTTATTTTTCAATAACCACATCACAAGGCCTCAGATTCTGATGAATTTAAAGGGACAACACTGGGCCAGAAGATGATTCTCATACTTCACACAAAACATATCGCTCAACATAGTCCTCCAGAACTGACTTCTTTCACAGCTCATGCCATTGTGCCCACTTTTACATATTCCTGTCAGATTGCTGCATATCTCTTCCTTCAGTCTTCCTCTTCTTCTTTGCGCTCAATGGCTGTAAACTCCAGTGAAAATTTTGGTTGTTCACCCACTTCTGAATTGTTTTACAAATCTGGCTTATTTGTGTGCACACTAATGGTTTCTTACCTCTCCGGCAGATGGACTATGAAAGAAATGTTGATCTTATTTACATTGGCAAAGCCCTAATTGGGACTTTCCTAGTACCCATTTTAGGCTGATGGTCAATCTGGGGACCCATTTTGTTCTCCAAATCTGCCGATATATGGTGCTAGCCTCATGTTTAACAAAATCAGTCTGCACTCTATAGGTGATGCATATCGAACCTAAGAGTTCTCTCTAACCTGTTCTGTAGAGAGCAACTCACCATGCATTTTTGGGGTTCTACTCACATTATTCATTTTTTCCTCAATTCCTGATTTTCAGTTGGTTCCGCATAAGGTTAAAAATGGACAAATATGGCACCAGCACATCATCATTACAGGGACTCACACTGATATACTGTCCAGGATATAACTCACACTGATATACTGTCCAGGATATAACTCACACTGATATACTGTCCAGGATATAACTCACACTGATATACTGTCCAGGATATAACTCACACTGATATACTGTCCAGGATATAACTCACATGGATATACTGTCCAGGATATAACTCACACTGATATACTGTCCAGGATATAACTCACAAGGATATACTGTCCAGGATATGACTCACACTGATATACTGTCCAGGATATGACTCACACTGATATACTGTCCAGGATATGACTCACACTGATATACTGTCCAGGATATGACTCACACTGATATACTGTCCAGGATATGACTCACACTGATATACTGTCCAGGATATGACTCAAACTGATATACTGTCCAGGATATGACTCACTGTCCTGATATACTGTCCAGGATATGACTCACACTGATATACTGTCCAGGATATGACTCACACTGATATACTGTCCAGGATATGACTCACACTGATATACTGTCCAGGATATGACTCGCATGGATATACTGTCCAGGATATGACTCGCATGGATATACTGTCCAGGATATGACTCGCATGGATATACTGTCCAGGATATGACTCACATGGATATACTGTCCAGGATATGACTCACATGGATATACTGTCCAGGATTTGACTCACATGGATATACTGTCCAGGATATGGCTCGCATGGATATACTGTCCAGGATATGACTCACATGGATATACTGTCCAGGATATGACTTTCACGGATATTCTGTCTAGGATATGACTCACATGGATATACTGTCCAGGATATGACTCACATGGATATACATACTTTCCAGGATATGACTCACATGGATATACTGTCCAGGAAATGACTCACATGGATATCCTGTCCGGGATATGACTCACATGGATATACTGTCCGGGATATGACTCACATGGATATACTATCCAGGATTTGACTCACATGGATATACTGTCCAGGATATGACACACATGGATATACTGTCTAGGATTTGACTCACATGGATATACTGTCCAGGATATGACTCACATGTATATACTGTCCAGGAAATGACTCACATGGATATCCTGTCCAGGAAATGACTCACATGGATATACTGTCCAGGATTTGACTCACATGGATATACTGTCCAGGATACGACTCACATGAATATTCTGTCTAGGATATGACTCACAAGGATATACTGTCTAGGATATGACTCACATGGATATACTGTCCAGGATATGACTCACATGGATATACTGTCCAGGAAATGACTCACATGGATATACTGTCCAGGATATGACTCACATGGATATACTGTCCAGGATTTGACTCACATGGATATACTGTCCAGGATTTGACTCACATGGATATACTGTCCCGGAAATGACTCACATGGATATACTGTCCGGGATATGACTCACATAGATATACTGTCCGGGATATGACTCACATGGATATACTGTCCGGGATATGACTCACAAGGATATACTGTCCAGGATATGACTCACATGGATGTATTGTCCAGGATATGACTCACATGGATATACTGTCCGGGATATCACTTACATGGATATACTGTCCAGGATATGACTCACAAGGATATACTGTCCAGGATATGACACACATGGATATTCTGTCTAGGATATGACTCACAAGGATATACTGTCCAGGATATGCAGGAGTACGAGGTGATGGAACAGATGATTTTCTGGCTACAAAAGTGATAGTTAAAGGAACACTCTTACTGGACAACTAAGACGTTCTAAAGACCATTTATAAATAAATTCTGACAGAAGACACAATGAAATACCATGTGTAGTGTACATAGCATAACCTTTGACCAGTCAGGGTCGTGGAGGTGTCTCGATGATAGCAAGCACATGAAACCTACTTTCTTGATGAATAAATTTGTGCTTATTCCTGTCCACTTCTTGATGTTGTCATTCCATATTTTCTTTGCCCTCCTCTTCTTCCACTACCCCTCAAAGATCCTTGAAATACAGCCTTTGCAATTAAATCATGTCTTACCACATGCCTGAACCAAGCTAGCTTGTGACATTTAATCACTGCTAAGAGAGGCTATGATGTTCTGCAAATTTGTATATTTTGTCTCTGATATTTTTTTTTTTTGGGGGGGGGGGGGGGGGGGGGGGGGGGCGCGTTCTAAATAACTGATTCGTAAAATGCGTCTATAGGATTTACATCTGGAAAACCTGATTAAAATGTGCAATTAAGAGTTGATCTGGCAAGGAGGGAAGTACGAGAGGAAGAGATCTTTAGCGTACAATAGGAACAGTTAACATTTATACCTTAGGACAATTGCTGTGGAAAATGGTGCATCTATGGGTGTGTCCAGTCTGCAATAATAGTGATTCTTAAATCAATAATATGTAGTCCTCATGTCACATTCAACTGTTACTCTAATCCTTTCTGCTCTAACTGTCACTCTTTTTTCTCTGCGTTTACCCGTTGTGAATTCCGGCAGCAAGTTCCGAGTACTCGTCCACCTCCAGACTTTATTCTGCTTCCAGAAACTGAGCATTGTTGCATGCACATCCATTTCACTCATCTGGTTTATTTGTATGCAGACTGTTGGTTCCTTGCCTCTAGGCAGATGTACTCGGGCTTCGAAGGATGCACCCAGTTAGTCGAATCTTGTGATAATGCTTATTTGGGGAGGCAGTGGGTCTATTCTTGTTTTCCCCACGATGGGGACCCGAAACCCACACTCTATCTCTCTCATGGTGTTCATTCCAAAACTCATTGTGACCAAAACATTTATTACTCAAAGTAAAACCTTTCTGGGAAATAAAAAGTTCAATAATTTATGCCATGTTTCTGGGAAGTAAAAGTGGCCAGCATGAAGCTAGGCACAAAGTTAATAACATCACCCATCAAGCACCAACTGGTCTATAAAAATATAGATCTAAGACTGCTTACCTGATAAGAATACAGGTGTGAAAAAAGTTCCTTTACTTTTAATGAAAGACTGAACTCTGTTGCTCGAAAAGCTACAAAACCAACACTTCTGTCCGGCTGGCTCCAGTTCTTCGTAAATGCCACTGTTCGGGCTTGTATACAATGATGTGTTTACTGGATGCACAGTTGATGCTATTGGCTGAGTTAGCACCTACGCAAATGCTTAGCAGGTCAAGATATGAATATATTAGGTAAAAATAGCATTTATGGGTATTGTCCTGTGAATTAAAAGCAAGGGCCCTTCACTTAAAAGAATAAATGAAGCAAACATGAAAACAAAGAATATAAATTGTGTGTAGGTAAAATCTTTTACTGCATTCTATCTTATCTGCATACACAAAGTCCAAAAATGTCACATAACTGTATCACAAATATATCAGGAGCTGCCGACAGATACGGGCTCAATTCTGCGGAAGACAGCCAGCCACTTCTCCCCTTTGTTGCGTGCAACCTTCTGACCTTCTTCTGTGCTGTTGTATATCTTGTCTACAACTACGTCATCTTTCTGGAAATATAAACATAAAAAATTTCCGCATTCGACCTTCTAACATGTTTAGGAATTTTTTATATTTTTTTTTAAATATACATTAACCCTTTCACTACTACGGACACTTTTTTTGTCTGCCCATAGACTGCTAAAAATGACTTTACTCATCTTCAGGTTTCTGTTCCCTCATTGCCATGAGCAAGAAAACATGTTTCCACTTTCTTTTCAGCTGCTAGAGACAATTATATTTGGGAGTCAATAAGCAACACACATTAGCCACATTTAGACCTCAGTTACCCATTTACATACATTTAAACACTCTGTTGCATGTGTTTAGGTTAGAATGATGGTGAATCAATTCAGCCATTAGACCATATTTATGGCCGGGCTATATTGCGGCCCCTGATAATAGTAAGAGTAGGGTTTCAAACAACGAAAAATTGCATCTCACAAGGAGATGACAGGATAGCCGAAAACTAGTAACAGCTGATGAAGAATTAATGGAGTTTCATTTCAAGGAGCGTTTGTGAAGATGACGTTGAAATATTAATTTCTGGCAGGGAGCAAGATGAAACAACCATCAACACTGAAAGGACAAACTGGCATGGCTGAGAAACAGCTTTTTGCATGTCCGGCATCTTCAATATCAAGAAATGGAGTGGTAAACGAGAGGTTTGGGTGCTAACAGCACGCCACGATTTAGAAATGGTAGCCAAAGAAAACTAGATTAAATGTTCTAAAGCCAAAGTATGTTGTGGATTATAACAAATGTATTGGTTCAGCAGATTGAACTGATATACTTCTACTGAGTCCATTCAAAAACTGTACAATAATTGAAAAAAAAAGGAAAACAAACTTTGCTTCATATACTTATTGCAGTGATCTGTCTCCGTCTTTTTAAGTGTGCAGCATTTCTTTTCCGTAAAAACGAGTTTTCTTTGTTTTGCCATAGTATGTCTGAATTGTCAGCAAAGGGGCCAACCTCCCTTAGGTTTATATTTTTAGGTATAAACAAAAATAGCCAGCACTGCCAACATGTCTTCAGCTTTTGGAAGACAAAAGTTGTGAGCACAAGAGAAAAGTTTAGCATCAACCTTGTTCATCACAATGGCATATGCCTACTATGATATATGATAACACGGCTGCAATATTTCGGCAGGCACATGTGCCTTCCCTTCCGTAGGCGTTTGTCTATGTAAGCTTTCTCAGATTTAGTTATTTTTAACAGTAAAATTGAGGGGCGTGAGGCTATTCTGCATTTTCTCCACAATGAGGTCTAAAAAGCTTTATTGACGTACTGTAACTGCAGACTTTGTCCCTTCTTGTCACTTTTAACCAGCTTTCTCAGATATCTCATTTCTGAGGTCTAAAGCTAGCTTCTGTGAGCTGTCGTCATTGCCCTCACACCCACAGGTCAGGACTGGTACATAGATAGAGCAGTAAACAGCTATTTTCTCTTTTGCTAAGAAACCCTCCATTTATGACCTGGAAGAGTTCCCCAAGCGACTGCTTTTCTTGTAGCCAGCTCAGGGTCTATGGTCTCCCCACTGATGGCAGCCCTAGAACCCACACAATAAATCATCTCAAAGAAACTGATACATGTCACAGAACATTGGAAGGCTGGCTAGCAGTGAGAAGCAAGCAGCCATCAGGTTGTCCAGTGTTTTACTGAATGCACTAGAAGTAATGCTCGCTGACACAACAATGGTGAGGGAACAGTTGCAAAGTGCAAATGTAACAACAATCAATGCTTGCTAGCAGCATCCAGTTGTGTAGGCTGCTTTCAGATGTGTATGCCTGTATGATATAGTTAAGTCTATTATCACTATGTAGGTTCCACTGCCTATGTGGTTGAAACCCTATCATCACTTTGTGGGTTCCAGGGTCTATGTAGCTGCAAAAAGGTTAAACAGTTACATACAAGACCACTAACACCATTAGAAATTATACATTGGTGCCCTTATTGCCTCCTTCGGATCGTACGAGAAGAATCTCAATACATGGATACCACAGTCTGCACATCTGTCAGTTCTGTCTTTCAGTTTTAACATGTTGCCAGGGTAGTGATGACACAGCTTACTGTTTACAATTTCAGTGTGTTACTGGGGCTCACTAGCTAAACCAGGCGACTCAGGAGGGTTGGAGTGAGACAGACTAGCTCATCAGGTAGACTATCTTAGCCGCAAAATGTAACCAATAATGAACAACAGAGAAAAGAAAATAGGTTAACTAACTAAGATTAAAGGCCTTTCTTCTAAAACAATTACGAAATAATGTGAAAAATCCTGATTCTGGACTGCCAAATTACCTACTTTCCCCTATTAAAATTTGTCAGAACTGACACCAAGAATGTATAGCTAGGTATGAAGGAAAATGCAACACAATTAGAAAAATGAAATATCAGAGGTCATGTTGGGATTATGTGAAAGAATATGGAATAAAGCAAGTAACAGGGAATGAAGCAATTAAAAGGGAATGAAGTAAGTAAAAGGGAAGAAAGCACGTAAACATTTTTGGAAGAAAGATGAAACATAATATTATCAGCCTCACAATGAAGAAATGCTTACTATTGTAAAGAAATAACAGGCTCTTGGAAGATCACTGAGCAACTGATGTAATTTAATTCCTTCACCCCATAATAATCTTAAGAAATTACATTTCTTTTCTTTAAATTTTGCTAACAACAACAAAAAAATCCTTATAATTCTATGAAACTCTACCCTAGTAAACTTCATCAATTCTGATACATATCCAGGGGGTCGAACTCCTAGACCACCGAGAAGACAGGCAAGCATGAAGTCCTTTTTTTTTAATGAAGTAAAGGACTCTTTTCCACACCTTTAGGCGTATTGGGTATACATGACTAGACCTATATGGTAAACAGCACTTGGCAAAGGCTCATAGTGGTGATGTGGTCAGCATCTGGTCGGCAGCTTTTACTTCCCAGGACTTTACCTGCTACCAACTCAAGGCTGGGTCACCCTGGGAGCCAAAGTCCAACCTCTGCCATGACTCGAACCCATGACCTTCCGATCCGTAGATGAGCGTCTAGTCGCTAGACCATGGTGGCTCCCTCTTTGATGATGTAAAATTACTTTTTTTTTCATGTAAAACAAACTGTCCAGTCATTAAATGTATGAATGGAGAAAAGGTTCATTTCTTTATTAAGGAAAGTAATCACTAAACACAAAAGAATTAACTATTTTATTTCCTTTGACCATTTATAAGTGGTTTCGGTTACTTTGTCAAGTCAATGAATCTGTTTGTATTTTTAATTCACCCCAAAAAGTATGTCATATTGTTTCTGTAAAAATAGTCGTACCCACTATGTCTACACACTTTGCAGTTGCAGCCACTAACAAAGCTGTCACGCAAGAATACCTTCTTTAGGCACTGTCCAAAGACATCATGTCAACCAAAACCCATAAAAGCCAGAAAAATGGCTTTCTTAGGGTGAGAGGGTTAAGAAGGTTTGGACAGTTTTGAAAGTTTAATCTCAAAAAGAAAAAAAAAATTAATGAGCAGTAACCAAAAATATATAAACTATCTGCATGCCATAAGGGACACAGATGGAATATGATGAACAAATACTTTACCAATCAACTTAAAGGTGCTTACCAGTTCATCATCAGAGACTCGTTCAAACAGTGGGAATTTGGTAAAATGGTCAACCATCCATTCATGGAGATCTTTCACGTCAGTTATAGTGTAAACCAAACCCTTTAAAAAAGTGAGATTAATCATGATGTGTGAACTAAAACCTATATCACACAGAGATATTGCACATAACAAACAAATAATGTAAGCTATAATGTAAACGAGACCCTATATCAAACAGAGAGAGTGCATATAACACACAAATAATGTAAGCTATAATGTAAACGAGACCCTATATCAAACAGAGAGAGTGCATATAACACACAAATAATGTAAGCTATAATGTAAACGAGACCCTATATCAAACAGAGAGAGTGTATATAACACTTCAATGATGTAAACTATAATGTAAACGAGACCCTATATCAAACAGAGAGAGTGTATATAACATTTCAATGATGTAAACTATAATGTAAACTAGACTCCATAAGAGTAAAATATACATAAAACGTTTTCGGGTTGAATAGACCAATTACACCCTCAAAAAACATGCCGTAAAAGTCTACTAATTATGGGTATTGCATTTGAAGTTGAAGCGCGTCTGCCTGAGAGGCAAAAAATTTACAGTCTGCATACAAAAAAGCAAGATCAATAAAACAAAACTAAAGTCCAGAAGTGGACCAATAGCCACAACCCTCCGCTAAAGTTTACAGCCTGTGAATGCAAAGGAACGAAGGAATAACATCCATTACAGTGTAAATTAGACACTACAATAGACAGCGAGATTATACATTAAAATCATATGACACAACAACTACAGCCTAAACTAGAGTACATAAAACAGTAAAATTTTACATTAAAAATCCAATGACACATTAATTATGGTGTAAATAAGACCCTAAATTGGACGCTGAAATTATAAATTAACAATTAAATGACACATCAGTTTTAGTGTCAATAAGACCCTATACATCTGTGATTACCCCAACAACAAAAAGTTTGTTGCGTATCCTTTACAGGACGTTGCAGAACCAACCCGAGCGCTGTGATTACAGGCGCTTTAATTATCATCATGCTCTATTTGGCTCTTATGTTAGCAAACATGTTTCATAATCCTCGGCAAAGGAAGGTTTGATTTCGGCTGTGGCATTTAAAAAAAGACCATTCTTGTAGGTCTGAGACAGCAGTGTGGGAGTCATTCCGTGGAAGAGACAGGGGCCACAGCATATAATATTCCTAGAGACAGCAGAATGTGCACACACCCACTGCAGCCAACTCCCACTGTACAGACAGTAAATATTTAAGAAAAAAAAATTAATTCAGCACAAGTGTCTGCTGGTCCCAAAGATATGAGGTTTAAATCCAAATTGTGGCAGAACTTTGTTTTTCTTCAAAACTGACCTTGGCCTCCAGGCTGACTTAGCCTAACACTGGTATCAGAAAATGTTGTGGGAAGTAAAGGCAGCCAGTATGATGCCTTCAACATCAGCCATCAAGTGTCAAGTTGTCTATGAAAATATACCCCAGGGAATGTATGCCTGATGCGGCAAACAGGTCTTTTACTAATCAACAACATACTTCCACAGTTCATGATTGACAGGCACCTTACCCCCGGCTTCAGCACATATGCATATTCAGCGAGCAAGGTTGTGTTGATGATTCGCCATTTGTGTTTGGCCTTCTTGAAATGAGGATCAGGGAACAGAAAAAACATCTTGGTCAGCTGCGAATCAAAACAGTCAATATAAGATTAATGCACTAAATGTAACACATTATACATTTGAAGAGAAAAAACATTTATGTAAAACAAAAATACAACTGCTTAGAGCACTAGCTATCAGTACCTTTATGTGCGGCTATGAGACATGGAAAGAGAGACAGAGGAAGACAGCATGAGAAGATTCTTGATAGCGTTTTGTAATGGCATGGTGGAGTGTCAACACACAAACTGATACATGCAGTTGCGGATCGCAGATTGTGGAGAGGCATGATCGCTCACACCAGTCGGAGAGGCACTTAATTATGATGATGATGACAAAACATGGACCTCAACATGTGAACTTGCAAGGAAAACTCAAGTGTTGGAATTGGGAACTTTTCTTAAGATCCTTGGGATATCATAGCGAGACCACATCATGAATAATGAAGTTCATCATATCACTCTAACATAGTGGTCAGTGGGAATCTCTTTTGCTCCAGAGGAGCTGTTGGCCGAATGGTTAACAATGCAGAACTCTCTTGCAGGAGAACCACATTTGAATCCTTTGTATGGCTGCTGTTGTTTTTTTTTCAGCCGGGGCAAAAATAAAATCCTAACCTGCACAGTGTGTGGCAACCGCACTCACCATGCTGCCCTAAATATTCAGGCTCAAAAACCCGACTACACTGTAAAAGTGGTACATGCAGGCAGTAATAGCAGAAAAGAGAACAAACAGTACAGACTTGTAATAGAATCAACCAGCCTCTTCAAAACGATACTAAAGACATGTGGAAAATAGCCACAACAAGAAATACTTAGGCACAGAATTTGGCCGAATGAACAGGCCTCGAATATTCTTCTTCTGCATTTATCTGTAAAAGCACATGTGGTTTCTCGCTAGACTGCAATATCTGCCCCTTTCATCCCTATACATCCGATTTCAGCAAACCTCTAATTACTTGTCAAATTAGTCGGTACCTGTGGCTAAGGCACTGCGTCTTTACTTTGCAATTCTCTGGTGCCGGGTTTGACCCAGCGGCAGGTGATTTGACAGCTTGTGTCAGTTTCGACAGTGGTATCAAAAGCTGGCCATTCAGAAAGCACTGGTAAATTACTGAAAGTAAAACTGTCTAATGAAATCATCTTCTTCTTTTCTCTACTGGAAAGCCTCACGGCATCAGAGCAGGAGAGATCTCTGGAACGAGCCCTTCTGTTCACTTCATATAAAGTACTTTTAAGTGTCTTTTATATTTCAGCGTGGTCGACTTCTAGCTCTGCTACCGTTGTATCTGTATAACATTGCTCTCTGTGGTGCCCTGTCTGCTGCCAATCTTGTCACATGGCCAAACCATTTGATTTGTTGTCTATCTAAACAGTTCGGTATTGGTTCTGTGCCGACTCTACTCCTGATATTATCGTTCCTTACTCGATCTTTCCTCATTACACATAGTATAGGACGTAAGCATTTCATTTCTGTTGTGACCATTTTCCTTCTATATTATGAAGACAGTCTCTGTGTTTGACACTGTAACATAGCATTAGTAAGAGTATTTATGTGAAATCATAAACAGCCCAAATATGATTCAGTTGGTGCTGCAACGTCCTGTAAAGGACAAGTAACTAACTTTGTTTTGGTCTGTCCATCCCCAACCCATTCCCTGCCACGGAGCCTGGAACTCTTATGCAGGAAAGCCTCAAGTATGTGAACAGCAAGTCTATTGCATGTGACCAACAGCAAGTCTATTGCATGTGACCAACAGCAAGTCTATTGCATGTGACCAACAGCAAGTCTATTGCATGTGACCAAGAGCCAGTCTATTGCATGTGACCAAGAGCCAGTCTATTGCATGTGACCAACAGCAAGTCTATTGCATGTGACCAAGAGCCAGTCTATTGCATGTGACCAAGAGCCAGTCTATTGCATGTGACCAACAGCAAGTCTATTGCATGTGACCAAGAGCCAGTCTATTGCATGTGACCAAGAGCCAGTCTATTGCATGTGACCAAGAGCCAGTCTATTGCATGTGACCAAGAGCCAGTCTATTGCATGTGATCAAGAGCCAGTCTATTGCATGTGACCAAGAGCCAGTCTATTGCATGTGACCAACAGCAAGTCTATTGCATGTGACCAAGAGCCAGTCTATTGCATGTGACCAAGAGCCAGTCTATTGCATGTGACCAACAGCAAGTCTATTGCATGTGACCAAGAGCCAGTCTATTGCATGTGACCAAGAGCCAGTCTATTGCATGTGACCAACAGCAAGTCTATTGCATGTGACCAAGAGCCAGTCTATTGCATGTGACCAAGAGCCAGTCTATTGCATGTGACCAAGAGCCAGTCTATTGCATGTGACCAAGAGCCAGTCTATTGCATGTGACCAAGAGCCAGTCTATTGCATGTGACCAAGAGCCAGTCTATTGCATGTGACCAAGAGCCAGTCTATGGCATGTGACCAACAGCAAGTCTATTGCATGTGACCAACAGCATGAATAGGTATTGATCGGTCAACAGCAACTGGTGACCCAACAATACATGGTGTTGTAGGACCGTGAGAAAAAGACATCAATAAAACAGGGAGACCTGGTTCCACAGTGACTAACATACTTGCCTGCCACATTGGTGGTCATGGTCAAGGCAACATCAATGCGGGAATGTTTTAAAATTCTACTGGCTTTCTATTTCAAACCCTGTAAAATGAAATGTGCCACTCTGGCAAACTACTAACCTGCTCCTTGTGAAAGAAATTAGGTAAATACTTCATGGCGTTGGATCTGATGCAGGCAATGTTGTCATACTGGCCAGGGTGCTTTAGTCTTAGGGCCTCTATCCGTTTCTGGACATAGTCACTGACCTTGACCCTGATCTCCATTCCCAGCATTAGAGTCTGAGGGAACAAGGGAGCTAGGGCCACTGGTGGATTTAAAAAAAAAAGAAACACTAGTTATGTCCCCTGTCTGCCAATCAGGCCACAAGAAAGATGAGTTATTTTACTAACTTCTAAAAACTGACATTCTAATAAAACCTTCAGACTTTACACGGTACAGTTAGTAAGTAAATCAAGGCACCTTCATCAGGATAAAAAAGAACACTAGTTATTTTCATGCCTGTCAACCTCGCCACAAGAAAGATGAGTTATTTTACTAACTACTAAAAACTGACATTCTATTAAAACCTTCAGACTTTACACGGCACAGTTAGTAAGTAAATCAAGGCACCTTCATCAAGATATGGGACAGTGATAATATGATGCTAGTTTCATATTTTTGTATTTCAACCAGTTGTCAATTACTTTAAGGAGTCACGGACAACTTGAGACTTCATAACATCACGGCATATGAAGCGACTGAGCGCGCCCTGGCTCGGTTGCTGATCATCTGATAGACTGCGACGCCTAGCGGCACAAGCAGATTTTGACAAAAGAAGAAAGTCAATTACTTTCTAAGTCATTGCCTGGATCCCAGTGTCTTTTACATAAGTTGTGATGAGAACGGCATTCTGTAAATGACCCATTACTGATGATGATAATGAGTGCCTGTGCTGCTAACCAGCATTCTACCAAGATAAAACTGTCCAACAGAACTGTTTCTCACCTGTTACTGGGTGGCTAAGTTGGCAGCTATATTCAGGTCAGTGTGTACAGGAAGTACTATGATTTTGAAATAAAACGGGGACAAAAGAAGTTCAATGACGTGTTTTCCATCAGTCAATATCAAGCATATTCATTCCCACCCTATGCTACCAGTGCCAGTCATGGCCACTCACAACAAAACATACAAGAAAATTAGTAACCATGAAAATGAGGTGTCTGAGAAAGGTTGTAGGAGTGACCAGAAGAGAAAATTAGGAATTAGGTCATATGAGATACGCTGGCTGAGAGCCAATTATACATTACATAGAATGACAGCAAATCAAATGGTTTGTCTACCTGGAGAGAATGCCTTCTGATGCTATACCATTCACGTCATATACCAAAATAGGAGAGGGGCGTAGAGCAAGAGGTAGAATAAAAACAAATGGAAGGATAACAGAGAAACTCTACAGTACCACGACGTGTCTTTGGTCGAAGCAGCCAGAAAAGCATGAAGCAGGACCTTATATCTCCCTCGACACCCGAAGTGGTAAAAGAGGATGTAAAGAAGAAGAATATCAGGCATATGATGTCAGATCCATGGACCAGTCGCCACTCAGTGAATGACGAGGTCAATATCACGGCAGTTGCAGGATATTACATTGGACTTCTAGGCAAAGTCAACCCAGTAGCCAGGGTCAGTTTTCAAAAATAATCCACCTCTTTGCAGAACCAAACCAAAAACCTTTGAGCCGGCAGGCAAGCATCTTGCCACAAATATACAGCAGGCTGCATTACTGTAAAAAAAAATCATATAAATACATGATAAATTCTAGCAGAAATTGTACTGCACTTTCTTACCCAGCAGCCCCCCATACCCACAGCCTACATCAGCAAATTCCACTTTTGCCTTCTTAGTGACTGCCTGTTGCTCTTCTATGGGCTCTCTGTCTCTGTCGGTGACATTCGTCGGTGGGAAGTGATGAGGGTAAAATGAGGACCAATCCATGGAGTCTGGACATACTGGGCTGAGGACATGGACAAGGTTGTATCATAATTTAACTGAAAATAAAACTTCATTAACTGGTTTGGCACCAATCAATACATCATATTTATAAGTTACTCAAGAAACCATTTACCTTCTCACTTTCCTCTGTCCCATCCCTTTGTAGTTACCCCATTACATTCTTTCCACATTTTTTTGTTTGTTTAATCTGTAGACCCAAGCATTTATTTAGAGTAGCCACCGGTTATTCTTCTTCTTTCTTTTGTCATCTCACTGAAACCAAGTTGTAGCCCGGTGTCATGGTTTTCTGTATTTGTCTTGCCCTTCTCGGGTGGCTTGGATGATGGATTTGATAATCTTTTTGCAGGTTTCAGCTACATCCTTTATCCATCTCTTTCTTGGTCTTCCTCTCGCCTTACACCCAGATGTTCTACTGTAAAAAGTCTTATATGCAGTCTGATCTGGCTGCATTCTCACCAGATGGCTGAACTATTTCATTCTTTGTTTTTTAATGTAATCCAGACTTGGTCTTATTCCTACTTTCTCTTTAGTGCTGGTATTCGTAACCCTGTCTCTTCTTGTGTTGTTAGTGACCTTGCGGAGACAACACATTTCCCATGGAGTTCTTTTCTGTTGTAGTGCCCTATTCATTGTCGATGTTCAGCACTAATAACATAAAGTAGGGATAAAGATGCTATTAATCATTTGCTGTTTTGCTGGAAGGAAGACATTTGGGTGTCTTAAGTAGTGGCACTAACTGGAAGGTGACAGCATTTGCCTTCTGTACTCTGGCTTCTATCTCTATATCGAGTCTGCCATCCTCCGTTAATATGCTTCCTAGATATTGTAACTCTTGTACTTGTTTGACTGTAGTATCGTTAACATAGACGTTCATGGTATATTTCCTGCCTATCCTCATTACCTCAGTTTTTGCAGTGTTAATTCTCATATCATACTTTGTGCTGGTTTGATGTAAGGAGTCAGCATAGTTCTTGGTGGAGCCCCTGGTTAAGGTAGAATAGGTTGAATTAGTCACAGTGGTTAGAGTGGAATGACTAACAAAAGTGACTGGTTTGGATGTAATGAGTTACAGTTGTGACTGGCTAGGGTAGAATGACTTTACAATGGAAATGGGGGGGGGGGGGGGGCATCAGGCTCCTGATTTATACAAAACTGATAGGCATTAGAAGGATTTTTATTAGTAAATAGTAAACCCACAACTTTTGATTTTGGGCACTGCATGTGACTGACGAGTGAAAACAGAAAAGTTAGAGGTAAGAGAGGAAGACCAAGAGAGAAAATGCCAAACACAACAGTTTGGTATATATGTTTATAAATCATCATTATCAACATCACGTGCCCTGCTGACTGGCATAGGAGTTAATCACATAATGCATCTCCACAGTTCTCGGCCTCTTGATCAGTTCTACCGATTCCCTGTGTTGGTTGCGGGACCCTGTTGTACAGGGAAAACAAGGATAGTCCCTACAGCAGCAGTAGTAGTAGTAGTAGTCTTATTCACTCACAGTTTTTTTATCGTATAGTCACCATAATAATATATTAAATATAATACTGCTCTCTTTTAAACTTACTCCCAAAATGGCGGCCGTATTATTATGCCATCCAAAAGAGAGCTAAATTGGCCAATTTCTAGCCATAAAATATCCGCAAGGGGCTCAGTTCTATTTAAAATATATGTGCCGGCTCCGCATAACGAAACAAATGCTCTAACAGGGTCTCGGCGATACGTTACTTGCGGACCTGCTTCTGCGAGTGTGCCCTCACCGCCAACAGTATCCTCCGCGCCGCTATGCGCGGCGCAGATAATCCCCCGGATGGGGACTAAACTAGATGGCTGGGACTCACGAGTGGCAGCTACCGCATCTCCTGCAACTTCCTCCAATTACTTTACTCATGAGTCCCAGGCACCTAGTTTAGCCCCCCATCCGCGCCGCGCATAGCGGCGCGGGGGATACGCTCAGCCATGAGTTTAATTGCGTTTGGCGCATGCCGACAAGTCTGACATCTACCGCTGCTAAATCCTCCAATCGGAAGAACACAGTATTGCTAATCGGCTGTCATCGTCTGTAATATCTCGAAATTGGTCAACGCTAATATAGTCTGCTAGTATCCTCTGCAAAAACGCTGGAAATTGTTGTCAACGGTCGGTATTTATCGTCTGCTACCTCCGTGTGCAATGTTGATATTGATGGTCAAGTAGTCCTAGTTTTGCCGCGATTTGTTCCTTGGCAGAAAGTCCGTATTTTAGATATACGTGAACACCGTCGTTCGGATATTTTTGGATATTTTATGGCCAGAATGTGGCATCATTGTAGCATCATATTATAGCCGCCATTTTGGGGGTAAGTTCAAAAGAGAGCCTAATTAATAATCTATATATACTTATCGGCTCTACTGGCAAATCCGGACGAAGAATAAAAAGCCTTGGACGACTTAGTCAGAGTTCTCTCCCTTGGCCGCACTCCAAACAGTGATCGGAAAAGCCACAACGAAACAAACGACACACTTACTTACCTATCATCCTACGGTTGCGTGTAGGGCTGCGTACGGTTGCGTGAGGCATCGTGAAGGGATGCGTGGTCATCATATGGTTGCGTGCAGGGTTTGCGTACGGTTGCGTGAGGCATCGTGAATGGTTGTGTAGTCATCATGCGGTTGTTGGGTTAGAGTTAGGGGTAGGGTTAGGGGTAGGGTTGGGGTTAGGGGTAGGGTTAGGGGTAGGGTTAGGGTTGGGGGTAGGGTTAGGGTTAGGGGTAGGGTTAGGGTTAGGGGTAGGGTTAGGGTTAGGGTTAGGGTTAGATGTGAAAATTTTGACGTAGGATTTGAAATACTGGCCGACAATCTGATGTTTGTGGGAGTGGCGCCACTGAAACTCTGCCAAATATGACGCCAATAGTGTGCGGCTGGTGCCCCCAATCGTTGGCGAATTGTGCGTTTGACCAGCATCCAGAGGCCCTCGATTGTTTGTGTGTGTGTATGGGACTGTGCGCGATTATAGGGAAATCCGGCGTCAAAATTGTCCAATCTAACGCTAAACCTAACCCTACCGCTAACCCTAATCCTACTCCCTAACCCCTACCCCTAATCATGCAAATTTATCGATCATTAAAGCATAATACAAATCGGCAAAAATCAACACACAAAACACACTAAAAAAAAAACAACCCAGATTTGTCCTGCAGCGTCGAAAAAAAACCCAGATCTGGGGGAAACAACCAAGCATTGGCATCCCTGATGTCGACGTGACTGTCTTCTTTGTTTCGTTGGCTTTTCCGATCACTGTTGGGAGTGCGGCCAAGGGAGAGAACTCTGACTAAGTCGTCCAAGGCTTTTTATTCTTCGTCCGGATTTGCCAGTAGTGAAGTGTGATGACGAGTGATGACCAACATGCCACACACTCACACGGCAATGACTATCTGTAAAAGAATAATAATATCAAACAAATTAACTTACTATTCTAAATTATGGTCAGAGTTTGGGTTGGAATGAGCTCTCTGCCGATAATATTTCTTCTGTGGTAACTTTGCTTCCATCCCAAGCACGCGTTTAAATGTGTACAAGTACCATTACAAAGTACCATAACTGTGGCAGACCTCCTGTGGCAGTGGTTTCCCCTAGCATTAAAAGTGATTTCATGTAAGACTCAGGGGGCGGGAGGGGGAGGTTGGGCAGATAATACAAACTGTTACTGTTACAATCAGTTATAGAACATGTGGGACGCAATTTTTTCGATATTTGAAGCCCCATTCTGGTTCTTGCCGGGGGCCCAGCACAACCTATTGGTTAAACAGGGTTTCTGGGACCTTTCCACGGGAAATCCCTATTCGAATGGTGGCACTTTGCGTCACCGGGTGTTCATCGCTCGGTGTGATGTCCTGGTGGGGTAAAACGTCAATCAGTCAATAGCTAGAACTCTGCGCTTACTGCTGAAGATAGGAACGGAGCGCTTATTGGAGTGTCCCGAGTGCCGTGATGTCGATTCTTAATTAAACATTATGTAGATTGTAATCCTCTTGCCTGGTTCACCCAGTATAACTTGTAGTCCTCTTGCCTGGTTCACCCAGTATAACTTGTAGTCCTCTTGCCTGGTTCACCCAGTATAACTTGTAGTCCTCTTGCCTGGTTCACCCAGTATAACTTGTAGGCCTCTTGCCTGGTTCACCCAGTATAACTTGTAGTCCTCTTGCCTGGTTCACCCAGTATAACTTGTAGTCCTTTCACTCTTATATGCCTGTGTATGTCCAGGGATCCTACTCTGATGTGGGAAAAGCGCGGGGAAAAAAGGGGGCGGGGGGGGGGCCTAAGAGGGACAAACCCAAAACAAGCATGTGTGTGTACTGAAAATCGTAAATACGAATAAATAGCGGTTGCTGAAATCGGAAGTATTTGGCGGAAAGGCCCAGATTGTGCAGCCTTGCTGTAAACCACACACAAAAATGTTCCAACCTTACTTCTAAGGGGGTGAAAGCATAAAAGAAGATTATAATTTTTTTTTCTTTGCTTTTTAATTTGTATTCTGGTGGTGTAGAGTAAAACCTTAGTGCAGCGGACCGTATGGTCTGTTAGGAGTATCCCTTGCGGATCATTTTTCGTGCAGTTCATAAATATATTTTCAGTATTATTACTTCTCTGACATTCAGCACAGCCGTCTTCTGTTCTAATAGTAAAACTGCACACCGGATTGGTTAGTTGCGTATCCTTTTACAGGACGTTGCAGAACCAACTCCAACAGCTCCTGGCTGTTGTATTGTTTTTCTAGGCACATTTACGCCCAGTAGTTTGCCATTGCTTTCTGGGATGATACTTTCTTGATACCACTGTCGAAACCAACGCAAGGCGCATGGCTCGCAGCTGGGATCGAACCCGGCATCCCGGCATTACGAATCGTTCGCATCGACTTAGCCACATAGTCGACGCACACCGGATTACACATAAATAAATCGCAGGACCCCTCAAGTCAAAGTGCATTTGTTCCTGAAAACAAGGCCGGTCATCTGGAGGCGACAGTTTCAATTCCCTAATCTGTAACTCCTGGGGTAGGAGCCTGTCCTACTACCAGGCGCGTCCACCAGATGGCGGATGGTGGAAAGGCCTCTAGATGTAGAGGTTAGCCACGAATATATTGAATAAGTAGCCGTGGACCAAAACAGGTGATGGTCATTGAGAGGAGGCGAGTTAGTTGGTGGGACAGCTAGCTCTATAAAATACCTCAAAACTCTACGACATGGCCATCGACGGGTAAGAGGCGCCATAACCTCTCCACCCTGCTGCCTTGCAGGGTAAGTCTCTTTAGACAAAGGCTATTGGAGTCAAACCATATACAAACCGGCGGAAGGCAAGGGGATACCACCGCTGTACTATCCCAAGAAAATCATGCCTCCAAATAATACGTGTTCAGATAACGACGTGAATGGGGATTCCAGTGGAATCACCTCGTCCGGTAGGGAGCATCATGTTCTACGGGTGATACCCGACCGTCATCCAGCTACTGTATAAAAAGTAAATGGTAGAAACATCATGAACATTGGTACATGGAATGTCAGAACACTTGTACAAAACGGAAAGTTGGATAACATCAAGATGGAAATGAAGAGAATGAACATCAACATATTAGGAATTAGTGAAATGCGATGGCTAGGAGCAGGTGAAAAGTATTCAGATCAGTACAGAATTATTTACTCTGGGGGGAAGGAATATAGAAAGGGAGTTGGTATTATTTTGGATCAACAGAACTCAAAAACTGTGAAAGGATTTTGGACAATATCAGAGAACTATTAGTAAAACTTCGCGGCAGACCGTTTGACATCAACTTAGTACAGATTTATGCCTCAACAGCAGATAGTTCAGAGGAAGATATTGACGCATTTTATGACGAGTTAGACATGGCTGTTGATCAATGCAAAAATTGTGAAGTAACAATGGGACTTGGAGATTTCAACGCCAAAATAGGAAGTGAAAAAGTATACGGAATAACGGGTGGCTATGGACTAGGAGAAAAGAATGTGAGAGGTGACAGATTAATAGCATAGGCTGAGTCATGCAGCATGATAATAGGTAACACCTGGTTTAAACACCATCCTCGAAGATTGTGGACTTGGAAAAGTCCTGGTGATAATGTCCGCAATCAGATTGATTATATTTTGATTTCAAGAAGATTCTGGAGCAGCTTGGAGCAAAAACTAGACCAGGAGCAGACTGCTTTAGTGACCATGTTCCAGTTGTAGGAAAAATTAGAATAAAACTAAAGAACATTAGAAAAACACCACAGAACATCAAGTTAAATTTAGGAATTCTTAGAACGGATACAGAAATTAAGGACCAGTACAATGTCACTGTACAAAACCGGTATAATGCAATGGAAATTATACAGACTATTGATGAACAGTGGGATATGTTGCGTGAGTCAATTCAGCAGACATCTAAAGAGACAATCCCACCAACCTATAGAGTTGCAAAAAGGAAGTGGATGTCAACCGAAATTGTGCAGTTGATGGATGAAAGAAGGAAGAAAAAGAATGATAAAGAAAAATACTCTAGAATACAAAAAAAAAAAAAAAATAGTGAACAAATGCAAAGTGGCTAAAGAAGCCTGGCTGAATCAATTGTGTACAGAGATTGGGGAAAACAACAGGAAAGACACACATTCCATGTACCAACAGATAAATATGTTAACAGGAAAGATGACACGTAACAGCACTGGATATTTGAAATCAAAAGATGGTGACTTATTAATGGGACATAATAATTAACAGATGGACAGAGTATATAGGGGGAATTGTATGATGATAATAGACCAGATGTAGAACTGCAGACCAACAATGATGGTCCACCAATAATGACTGCAGAAGTTGAGGATGCAATACATCATATGAAGAAAGGAAAAGCACCCGGGCTAGACAACATCTCACTGGAAGAAATCGAAGCACTGGGAGATTTTGGAATTGAAATAATAACTAAACTTTTAAATGATATTTATAGTGGGTATATTCCAAATGACCTTTTAAAATCCATATTTATAGCTCTGCCTAAGAAACCAGGCACTATAAAATGTGAAGACCATCGCACAATAAGTCTTATGAGTCACATGACTAAGATTTTACTGAGAATAATTATGAGAAGAATAAGAAACAAAAATTAAACCAGAAATCAGCGATGAACAATGTGGATGTGTAGAAGGAAAAGGTACAAACAATGCCATATGCATCCTAAGGACATTGTCAGAAAGAGCTATAGATGTAAATACTGATTTGTACTTAGGCTTCATAGACTAGACAAAAGCATTTGACTGTGTGAATCATGAAGAAGTAATCAAACTATTAGAAAAATTAAACATTGATGAGAAAGATCTACGAATAATAAAGAATATATATTGGCAGCAAACAGTAGCTATGAGAATTAACAACTGTTTAGGTACATTTCAAAGCATAAAGAGGGGCGTACGACAAGAATGTGAACTGTCACCTGATTTGTTTTCAATATACAGTGGATATATAATAAGAGCTTTAATTGGTATGCCCGGACAAAAATGGAGGAGCTGGATCGGTCATCATGCTGCAAGACAGGACAACAGTAGAAACGTCATGTACCTCCGGAAGACTCAACAAACTTCAGAGTTGAGCAGCAAGCAATTATTGATTCAGCCAAAGTGCTCGAGGAAAGAAAAATTTAAAACAACAAATATGTTTTCTTTTGTGACTGCATGTCAGTCCTCCAGGCGACTCATAGGGATCCACGAGACAACATGGAAAGGGAACTGACCCGTCAGCTAAACAGACTCACAGAAAACAGTCAAATCGTTCTCCAGTGGATCCCGACTCACTGAGGCATACCAGGAAATGAGCAGACAGGCTTGCAAAAAATCGAACAAAGGAGAAACAACATACCCATTCATTGTCATTACCAGAAATCAGAACACTTATTAAAGGAAAATACAAGGGACTGTGGAGAGAACAAACTAACAGTAAACATCCACAAGAAGCCCATCAGCAGACTCAACAGAAAGCAACATACACAAATTTTCCGTCAACGAACAGGACACTGCAGGCTCAACTACCACATGCATAAAATACAAATTGTACAGTCCCCATAGTGTGCCTGTCAAACAGGACCACAAACACCTCAGCACATTCTGCAGACCTGCCCACTCTACCTTCAACTTCGAAAAGACGCCTGGCCTCAAGAGCAAAGTGTGCAGAGCTAGCTATGGGGAACCATGTAGGACCTGCAGCTGACATGCGAGTTCATAGAGGCAACCCACCTGATGGTCTGATCTGAGCATACGAAACCGAACGCAAAGAAGAAGAAGAAGATTTTACCCAGGGGCCAACATTTTGAAAACGGGGATCGTCACGGGCCAGAGGCCTGGGCCCCAGTATAGAATGATCATTTTTACAAATGCAATGATTCGTGGGCCTATTGTAGGCCTCCAAAAGACGGATTCGGCCTACGGGTTGCGAGTTGAAGAGCACTGGTCCAACATGTCCTGCTTCAATTTCTTCTGTAACTATGAGTTCAAAGTGCCAGTCAGTACCTT